ACTCAAAGCTGAAAACTGAAAACTGCAAAGAAAAACTGAGAAAAACTATGAAAAGCTGTGCAATTATGCAAAGTGCAAGTTCAACGTTGAGTCGCGTTCAAGGCATGCGCTGCCGCAAGTTTTTCATGCTGCCTCTCGACCGCCCACTGCCACGCCTTGCCCGCCCGCACCCCCTGCATGGACTCGCTTCATTAGCTTGGAAATTGTTTGCGGCTCAGATCCGAGATACCCATTGAAATGGGCCTTAAAAGGGTATGCGCTTCAGGCTTGGCGCGTGGCTGAGCCATTCTAGCCATCGTGGCCAACTGTCTAGCTCTGGCTCTGCATGTCTACAACTCGAGAACTATAAAAGCTGCAGCCTGGACATCGCTAATATCAGATCCTTTCTTGTCTAGCCAGCTTAAGCTTAAAAATCTTTTCCGATAACTCAACTCTTTGGCTTTATATCGATTGCAATTCGATATTTAAACTTTTTCGCGAGAACTACAAAACCTAGATGCATATTCCTTCTCTAGAACTAAGGTCTCGAAATGAGTTATTTATAAACTCATCTCGCCTATAACTTTTGGTTTCGATAACTCGTCTCATTGACTTGTCATCGATAACAATCCGATATATTAGCTTGATCTTGGGTTGTAGTTGAGACCTTAACTTCTGTCCTATTATATATAATATATTATATGTTATATATTAGATATATTTGATATCCCATAGATCAGATCTACGTTATATATTAGATATATATATATATTTGATATCCCATAGATCAGTTCTGCGCTAAGTCTTATCAGCAGCTATTTTTCGTTCATATAACTTAAGCAGCTGCTTTGGTAGGGTATCTGCTAGTCGTGCACGCCCGACTAGAGCACTTCTGCTGTTCAGTTTGGTATAAACTTTTTTTAGAGTCGTTCAATTATAATTAAAAATGGGTTTGTAAATATAATTGGTGGGCGTTTGGCTGTCGATGTTGTGGTCGATGTTGTTGTTGTTGTTGTTGTTGTTGTTGTGGGTTGCTCATGATTCGCCTGCTGAATTAGAACAACGCAATTGCTGTTCGCTCGTTTAGTCAGAGACAGTTCGACGCCCAGTTTTGAAAACTTTGCCACACAAAAACATTTGTTGAACAAATTCAAAACAAAAAGCGAAAAACAACAACAAAAGTTGAAGAAATGTTTTGTGTTTTTTTATTTTAGTTTTGTTTTAGCCCTAAAAGCCTAACGGCACAAAAAGCCATGGGCAAACTAAAGCTGTAAATGTTACACTTGGCGAAAGACTTGGGACAGTTTTGGCATGTGAACTTCCAAATTCCAGTACACTTAGCGAAAAAAGTGCCACCGAACTTTTATATTTTATTTAACTTAAAATTCTTAAACTTAAACTACACTTAGCGTAACAAGTGGCTTGTTTTGTAGTTATGCGAACGAATTTTATTTTTAATTTTTCACTCAAAAATTAAATTTTAGATAATTAAATATATGCCAAATAAATTTGTTAAATTAATTTAAACAAAATTACTTTTTTAACATTAATATAAAAATTAAAAAAAAAAAAGCATTGAATAATTTAAATAAATCGATAAAATATTAAAAAAAATATAAACAGGAAAAATATTTTAAAAAAATGAAAATATCCCAAAAATAATGTTAACTTTTTTTCAATTAAATAATCTAAAAAAGAATTGAATAAAATAGTTTTAAGTGAAAACAAAAAAAAATGTAATACAAAAATTAAAAAAATATGTAAGTAAAAAAACATTCTAAAAAAATGTTAAAAAAATATTGAAAGCTCAAAAAATATGGCTAAATTATTTTAAGAAATTCAATAACTAAAAAATTATCAATAATATTAAAAAACAAAAAGCCAATAAAATATTGAGAAAATAATTGAAATATGTGAATAAATTGTGCTTAAAAAACGTGAAAAATATTTGCACAGAAAACTCAGTGAAATACATATAAATGCTTATTGATAAAAAATTACACTAAAAATATACTTTATGTGATCAACGTTTAAACTTTTTCCTAATGTTAGCCAAAGCTTCGCTCAGTGCACATTGCGTATACGCCCCGGAGTGCGTGTGTGTGTGTTGGCTAAAGAAATGATGTCGCACAGCTCGATTCACGTGGCATTTGAAGAATCATTGTCTGCCGCTATGTCTAAAAGAAGAAAAAAAGTCCCAGGGCCAGCCGTGAGGGGCGGCCATGCCGCCCCCACTGCTCCTACCTCCGTTTAGGCCCTCTTTGCTGCTTCGCCCCTTAGCCAAACGAATTAACACTTTTCACATGTATCGAACAATGTGGCTTCACTCATATTTTGTGGCTGACATCTATGACAATTACGATTTCTACATAGGCATAAAAACAAACACACACACTCACACACACACACTTGCATATGTGCATAAATCTATGTGCACATAGTTATTTTCTATAAACATATTCATCTCAGCAAACATATTTCCAATTGCGTTTGCTTATTGGATTGTGTACCGAGCACATTAGCTGCTACACATGTCCAATTGGAAGTCCCACTAGATAAGCGCGCTTCCAATTGCATATGATTCAGCGTGCGTGCCTGGTCTTGCGCCCAGCTGACGATGCCAATTGGAAGTTTGAGCTCACTTGTCGTTGGCTCATTTTCAGTGGGCTTTGTGATTCATATGCATCCAATAAATTTTCAATCTATTTGATAATTGTGCAGCTCTGTGCATTGGCTGTGTAAATCGGCTGTGATTTGCGATTTCCCTATCTAGTTGTACTTATATTTTCAACAAGTCTCTTGTATCTCTCTTTAGGTTTCACTTTCAGATGAAAGCTGTTCTTTCATTGCTCTCTCGATTAGCTGGAAGCTCTGTGAGATAACATTCTAACTGGAAGTGGAGCTAAAGGACTTCCAGTTAGAAGCGTAACTAAAAATGAAAGACTTCCAATTGGAATGTCAAATGCCTTATTCTTGCAATTCTTATTATGTAATCTTTATACGCAATTGCTTTGCTAATGCTCTTCGAGCTTTAGCTGAGATTCTCTGTGTATTCTCTTTGGAATTATAAGTGAAAATGGAAGTCTCTATACTGCAGCAATTGCAGTTTTCGGCGTCTCCTTTCATATCCAGCTGCAGGCTCTATTAAGCTCTGTCTTCTACACTTCCATTGCTCCATGGGTTCCACTTCAAGTTTCGCTTTTAACTGATTTCCATTTCCAGCTGTTTTTCATATTATAATTTTCAATTCTAGTTCTAGTTCCGGTTCCAACTATAGCTATTGCCTTTAGCCATTGTTCCAACTCCGTTTCCAATTGGCATCGCTCAATGAGTTCCACTGCCATCTGTAATTCCAATTGGAAGCGAATCACTCACAAATGCGCGCTTTGTGTGACATGTGCCAAGAAAAGCCCATAAAATGAGTCAAAATTTTGAACACAAATAAAAATTAGCTAAGTTTCTGCTGGATTTTTGTTGTGTAAAAAGTGAAAAGCAAAGGCAAAGCTCCAAATCCAAATCCAAATCCAAATGAATCACGACCCAGTTTTTCGTATCCGTTTCTAGAAGCAAATGCAATATGCGATGAGTGTATTTATCTTTTGGCACCGATTCCATTTTAAAGACTCCGATTACAAATGTTTGTTATTGTTGCTGCTGCTGCTAAGCTTTGTTTTATGTTGGGCAATTAGTGTAGCCAGGGTCAAGTTAATGATTCAATTAGCATTTGTCATCGCCACCGCAAGCCGCGCTTGGCAATAGTTCGCAATAGTTCGTAATTGTCGTAGATCGTGGGAATATTGATAATACTCGTTAGCTCCATGACACGCCGACTGTCATAAATGTCGAGCTGTCGAGCTGGCGAGTCGATCTGCTGAGCTGACGATTAATCATTTGGATATAGTCTTCAATTGAGTCCATTTGACGATCTGTCGCTTTGACGTTCTGATGATCGACTCGACTGGATGATCTGTCGAGCTATTGATCTGCTTATCTATCGATCATCAGCGATATATTGTAAATCAAATCAAGACATCATGGGGTGTCAGCGAGAGAGAGAGAGAGAGAGAGAGAGGGAGAGAGAGAGAGAGAGGGAGAGAGAGAGAGAGAGAGAGAGAGGGAGAGAGAGAGAGAGGGAGAGAGAGAGAGAGAGAGAGAGAGGGAGAGAGAGAGATTTCAATTTCAATAGTTACAGTTATTCAAATCAGATCTGGGAATCAATTCGCATCTGACAAAAACCTTTAGAATTTCTCTGCTTATCCAGAGTAGAGCTCTCCATAGGCTAAGATCTTGGCTAGAATTGTTATTGCTACTCCTTCATTCGAGTTCGAAAAGGCGTCTCTCTTTTTCGATATTGCATTTAAAAGCAGTATTTAGGAAAAAGCTATAGCAAGTGCAATAATGGCAGACGCGACTTTATACTATATACTCTGTACTATACTGATTAGCAGATATATACTACAGAGCTGTAAGACAGATATTTCATATGCTGTCTCCCTCACACACACTATCTGTTTGCTCCTTTTGTTTCCTCAATCTCTCTCTTGCTCAGTCTATGTCTCTCTTTGTGCTCTCTCTCTCTCTCTCTATCTCTCTTTTCCTCTTTCTGCATGTTGACCTCTTGTCTGCCTGCTCTCACTCTGTCCCTACCTTTCTCTATCTATCTATCTTACTATCTATTCGCTCTCTCTCTCTCTGTTGCATAGCTTCATCTATCTGCTCTCTCTCTCTCTTTCTGTTGCTTGAATCCCTTTGGGTAGTCTCTTTCTCCTTCTCTCTCTCTCCCTCATATCACATTTCTTAAGCCCTTTAACTAAGCCCAACATAATTTCTTGACCACATCCAAGGCGGGGGCAGCGAGGCGGGCACCGCCCACTCGCACAAGCCGCAAGTGCAGCTTCAACTTTAGAGCTGCCTCGCGCTCTCCCTACGTCTGTGTCTCTGTGTGTGTGCGTGCGTGTGTGTGTGCTGGGCAGGTGTATAAAAGCGACGGCCAATGGGGCTGGCTTGGCATTAGACAAGTGTCAGGTGACGCGTGCGCAGTAGAAACGTTCAGCGAGTAGTCGAAAGAAGCCAACCCAAGTGAGATCCACAGAACCAAAGGCGGCCACCACATGAAGTGCTTTGTAAGCCACGAGCGAATCTCTGACTTGGATTACGGAGGGCGGAGCACTAAGAATCATTTTGCTTGCAGATCGTTTTAGTTGCAGCTTTGCTGCTGGCGTGTGCTCGGGCGCAGAGCGAGGCCGTGCAGGATCAGGAGCAGGTGGCGGCAACGCCGACGGCGGATCAGGTGGGCGCCGCCAGCAGCTATGCACCGCTGCAGGAGAAGAAGCAGGACAAGCGCTATGTCGGTGGATACGGTGGTTACGGTGGTTATGGTGGCTACGGCGGCTACGGCGGCTACGGCGCCAATGCTGGCTATGGCAACAGCGGCTATGGCGGCTACGGCAACGGCTATGGAGCATATGGCTCCACGCTGGGCGCTGGCTACGGCAGCGGCGTGGACAGCTACTACAGTCCATATGGATCGCGCGGCTTTGCTGGTTTGGGTGAGCAAGCGACCTAGTTAGCCTAGGCCTAGGCTAAATGGAAAACTAATCTATGTTTGTCGCTCTTCAACGCTAGATGGCGCTGCTGGCTATGGCGGCTATGGCTCCACACTGGGCGGCTATGGCTCCACACTGGGCGGCTATGGCTCCACCTTGGGCGGCTATGGCTCCGCCTTGGGCGGCTATGGCTCCACCTTGGGCGGCTATGGCTCTGGCTTAGGCGTCGGCGGCTATGGCAGCTATGGCAGTGGCTACAACTCGAATCCCTACGCCCTGTCCTATTACAATTCGCGCCTGGGCGCTGGCGCTGGCACTGGCTATCCGTATTACAACACTCGCTTTGGCGCCGGCGGCTATCCTTCGAGCTACTACAGCAGCAACTATGGCAACAGCGTTGTGGGCGGCGGGCTCGGTGCGCTGGGCGGTGTGCCGCCCATTGGCGGCGCCGGCGCTGCTGGCTACAATTACGGCGCCGGCATCTCGGGCACCGTCTACTAGAAGGCGAGCGCCAACGATTTCAGCTTTAGTGAAATTTATTTTTTTTGCCCCAAACTGTATATATACATACATATATGCGTATACAATATTATATATTTTTTTATCTAACTTAATATTTTACATATGTTAAAAGAAATAAGCAAACCATAAAATCACATATTTTTACTTTGCTCAGCTTCAGTTGTAGGAGCCGTGTTTCTCCTTGATCACCCAGAAGGAGTCGACAATCTGGCCGTCCTTGTCGTCGGAGACCTGCTCGAAATGCAAATGTGTCGCATTGTGCGCCTTAAGGCGGGTATAGCCGTAATCCTTAAAGTAAAATAAACAAAAATTCATTCAAAAAATCACGAATTTCGTTTGGCAACATTTGCAACTGCTTTGGCAACATTGTATCGGGCACAGCAATGTTGCTATCAAATGTTGCTACACCTATTTCAATGAGCTGTAGATGCGATTGGCTGTGTGTGCTATGAATTCCACTTCTGCCATTAGTAAAGTAATATGTACATGCTATAATTAATTACACTACTCAAATAATCTAAAAGTTTGGCTTAAGCCGCACTCCTACAGCATTGCAGCTGATTGGCAACATGTTTCGTTAAGTTTAGCTTAAACAGTGATTCGATAGGTTTGCAGCTGCTGCCAAATCGTGCCATACTTATCGATGAATAGCTAAGCGATACTTTTGTTGCTTGCAAAAATACTTAAAAACAAGCCGTTACTCACATTGCTATGGAAGGCATTCCAAAAGGGCAGAACATTGGAGAAGGGTTCACGATTTTCTTTGCATCCCGCCGACCCAGTTATAATCTGTATGGGCGCTTTAGGATTTGTATAGGGTGCCTCGGCGCTGCCATTGTAGACCTTAAAATCATAAATGGGCCATAGCCGTGTATAGAAATGTTCGTGGGCAAAGAACTCAATGTCGACGCCATGCTTATAGAACAGATCCTCCAATCCGAACCACTGAAGCGTTGGCAATCCCTTGCGTATGTACGTCTCCAGCTTGCCATCGCAGTCGTATTCTTTGTCGTCGCTGCAGTACATCGGACGATGGCCATAGGTAATGATCCAGGGACGCTTAGCACGATTCTCTGGCAGATTGGCCTCGGCCAAGTCTCGCTCCAGCCACTCGAACTGCTTGGTGAGCAGCTTCATGCCATAGTTAATAAAGTAGTAGACTTCCGTGGAGAAGGAGACAAAGTGCACGGGACCCATATTGAAGCTGTACCACAAACTATCCCCATCTCCGGGCATATTGAAGCGTGCGCGATAGTTGGAAAAGTTGCTGCAGTGCGTCGAATGGAATGGGTTAAGTAAGCGACAAGACAAGACAATAAAATAACGCTCTTTATACATACTACTTCTCTTCATGGTTTCCCGGACAGACCATGTACGGCACATAGGCGGCCAGTGTTTCAATTTGCCGCATAAACTCGTCGCCGACGCGCGCGTCATTCGAATCCATATCGTAGGCAAAGTCACCCACGTGAATGATCGCATCGTACATGCCCAGCTGTGAGTCCTGCTGCAGTCGAGCCAATGACTGTGCGTTCTCATTGCCCATATCTCCATAGATGGCCAACGATGGCGACCAATTCTCACCGGCTGGCGGCGTCTTAAAGCTGTAGATAGCCGACCAGCCCATATCGCTGCCGCAGCTGTACTCATAGTGCGTGTCTGGCTTTAGAGAGGGCAACGTCACCTTGTGTATGTACTGGGTGCGTGCCTGCTTGCCGCCATCCTGGAAAAACTGCCAGCTGCCGCTGACCGACTTAAGCGGATCGTGAACATAGTCCTGGGCAAAGTTAACCAGCGACTGATTAGTGGAGCTGCGCGTCGACCAGGTCACAACAATATCCTGCAGGCTGTCTGGAAAGAAAGCAGCAAGTATATAAAATATATATAGTACCTAGTAGCCAGATATCCGATAGAACTAGAGACAAACAACGGTTGTTAATATGCGTTTTATTTATTTATTTGAGAAATTGAATAAAATATATATATATATATGTGAATAGATATGAGTTATAATGTTTATGAATATCACATGTTTAGGCTGCATATGGTCCGTGTTTCTCCTTGATCACCCAGAAGCTGTCAATGATGGCGCCACCTTGGTCATCGGATACCTGCTCAAAGTACAAATGACTGGCATTGTGTGCCTTGAGGCGCAGATAGCCAAAGTCCTGGCTGTGGAAGGCGCTCCATGGTGGCATTTCCTTAAAGAATGGCTCACGACCCTCATGATTGCCCGCCGCTCCGGAGATGATGTGCACCGGTGCTCCTGGATTCACATATGGCTCCGCCAACGAGCCATTGTACATGGTATAGTTGTACATTGGCCACATGCGCTCATAGCAGTGCTCGTGCGCCCACAGCTCCACGTCCACGCCGTACTTGTAGAAGAGCGGCTCAAGACCAAAGAAATTCAGACCGGGCAGACCTTTGCGCACGACCGTCTCATGATTGGCGCAATCGTCGCCGTTGTCATTGCTGCAGTACATCGGCCGATGGCCATATGTGATGATCCACGGACGTTGGGCACGATTCTCTGGCTTCGTCGCTTCAATCAGATCACGTTCGAGCCAATCATATTGCATGACAATCGGTTTGATGCCGAACTGCGTGAAGTAGTAGACCTCGGTGCTGAAGCCAATAAAGTGTACTGGTCCCAAGTTGAAACTATAGAATAGATTGTCCGTGCCGCCCGGCATGCTGAATCGATTGACATAGTGCGAGAAATTGCTGTGTGGCGAAAGATTTCCAAGATAGATACTCTAGAGATAAGAGACGTCTGTTCTCGGCAAACTTACTACTTCTCCTCGTGATTGCCCACACAAACCATGTACGGCACGTAGGCTGCGATTGTTTCCACCTGACGCATAAACTCATCGCCAACCTCCCCGTTCTCGTTGCACATGTCGTAGGCAAAGTCACCCACATGCAGTATGGCATCGTACATGCCCAGCTGTGTCTCGCGCTGCAGTGCCGGCAGCGAGGCGGCATTCACCACGCCCATGTCGCCGTAGATAGCCAGCGAGGGTGACCAGTTGCTGTGATTGAAAGTCGTGTGGAACCAATAGACGGCCGACCAGCCCAATTGGCTGCCACAATGATAGCGATACGTTGTGTTCGCTTGGAGATTGGCCAGTGTCACCTGTCAACGTGTTTGCTGTATTAGACTGTTCATTGAACTATTTGCTACTTACGCGATGAATGTACTGTATGGCCTTCTGGGCGCCACCATCGACAAACCCCGTGGGTCCTTGAGAAGCCTTGGCGCTTTGCTCATTTATGCTATCGATGCCGTATTCGCATATTGATTCGTTTGTGTTGTCGCGCGTATTCCAGGTAACGACAATGTCCAGTACATTTTCTGGGAGAAGCACACGGCACACACGTTGCCAATTATTCACAGTCGTTAATCGTATGCACAATTTATATCTAGGTATGTATTTATTTACACGCAAAGTATTTACAAGTTCGGCTAGAGTTGCGCGCTTAACGTTTTATCGGTTATCGATGAACGTGTCACGCGCGACAGACTTAGCGCTTATAAATTAAGCCGCTAGAGCTGAGCGTTTTACGTGCTATGGGCTATCGATCAACGATTTTCATAATATATATCGTTATTTATAAATATGAGCTTGCAGATCGCGATCTTCACTTATATATATATATATATATATTCTTATTGGCGTCTTTTTAAATGTGTAAAAGATTGAGAAAAATGACAGATATTATCTGTTCAATATATATATTTATATATATATATATACGCTGGGTTAACCATACTCATTGATGTGGTTAAATAAAAAAACAGTTCAAATTGCAAGCGATAAAAAATTGACATATTATTAGATAGCCTTCTGATACTCATATATGTGTATAGACATTTAGGCAACACACAGCAAGATACACATATTATTACATATTAAAAGTAAAAAAACATACAAATAAAATTGGCTAATTTTAAGGAGTGTTTACAGTTATCAAATACAGTTTGTTCAGGGGCTTGTACTGGGCAACAGTTGTGGTTGCAATTGCAATTGCAATGAGGGGACAAATGGGTGATTTCCCTTATCAAATAAGTTAGAAATTGAGCTATATATATTGTAGAATGTGCGTTCGTAATACTGTCAGTTACTACAGTTGTGTGGATGTGTTTTTAAGTTGTATTTAGTTAACCAAATGGACCGCTTAAAGATCGTTGTATGCCCCATGCTGGGCTTTAATTAGCCAGAAGCTGTCAATGATGGCGCCTCCTTGATCATCGGACACCTGTTCAAAGTACAAATGGCTAGCATTGTGTGCTTTGAGACGCGTATAACCATAATCCTGGCTATGGAAGGCGCTCCACTCGGGTATCTTGCCCTTGAAGGGCTCGCGCCCCTCCTTGCAGCCCGCCGAGCCGGTGATAATGTGCACCGGTGCACGTGGATTCTCATAGGGCGAACCGAGCGATCCATTGCGCACCTTGTAGTCATAAATGGGCCAGAGGCGTTCGTAAGAATGCTCGTGCGCCCATATGGCCACATCCACGCCGTACTCATAGAGCAGCGTCTCCAATCCGAACATATGCACGAATGGCCAGCCGACTCGGGTCAATGTCTCCGAGTGGGTGCAATCGTTGTCGTTCTCATTGCTGCAGTACATGGGCCGATGGCCATAGATGATAATCCAAGGTCGCTTAGCACGATTCTCTGGTTTGTTTGCCGCCTCCAAATCACGTTTGAGCCACTCGTATTGAAAAACGAGCGTCTTTACACCATAGTTAAGGAAGTAGTACACCTCCGTGGATATGCCAATGAAGTGCACCGGGCCCAGGTCGAAACTATAGAAGAGATTTTCTGTGCCGCCCGGCATGCTGAATCGTGCCCGATAGTTGGAAAAATTGCTGCAAGGCGAATCCAATAAACAATCTCCTTATCTGAACTAATCTGCACTGCTCTGTGTCGGCTCAACTTACAACTTCTCCTCGTGATTGCCTGGAACTACCATGTAGGGAAGATAGGCGGCCACCGTTTCGATCTGTCGCATAAACTCGTCACCCACTCTAGCATCCTTTGTGTTCATGTCGTAGGCAAAATCACCCACATGGATGATCGCATCGTACATGCCCAGTTGCGTCTCTCGCTGCAGCCGGGCCAGCGACTGTGCGTTCTCATTGCCCATATCCCCGTAAATGGCCAGCGAAGGCGACCAATCGGAATCGGCGCTGGGAATCGTGCGGAATTGATATTTGGCCGACCAACCGTACTCACTGCCGCAGTGATAGACATAGCTGCTGTTGGGTTTAAGCTGACTCAGCGTAACCTAAGTTGAATTTACAATCTTACATCAGATCTCAGATTGTGTGTATGTGTGTGTGTGCGTACCCTGTGTATGTACTGAGCCATCTGCTTGGGACCGCCATCCACAAATCTAATGGCCTTTCCATAGGCGCGCTGCTTAAGATCTGTCAATCCATATTCGACAATGCTGTCGGCAGAAGGCGGTAGCTCGCGCGTTGACCAAGTGACAACGATCTCGCTGGCGGTGCGCTCTGTTTGCAGCAGCAACAGTTAACAGTCGGGCAAATAAGTAAACAGAAACGGAAAGAGAATACAAGACAAAAATGAAAAACAATGCTTGAGTTTTTGGCCGAAATATATGTATTTAAATTTTGTTTATATTAAAACATTTGGTGCAAAAGTTATATTTATTTTCCGACATGTTTTTCGATTTGTTGTTTTGCCTCTCATTTCGCTTATCGCGGGACCCCACACACAAAAGAATCGAGTTGAACTATGATTAGAGTGTGACCTAATTTCCGTATGATTATGATCCTAATAGTAATAAATCAATGCTTAGGAATAAGTACAAAAAAGGATACACAATAAAGGCATAGAAAAAAGCAAAACTTCAACTGTTGACAGAAAAACATTCGACCTTTATTATTTATGGTTTAAATAACTTTTGCGACATGTTTTTCAATTTGTTGTTTTGGTTCTTGTTTCGCTTATCGCGCGACCACACACAAAGGAATCTAATTGAACTCTAGAGTGTGGCCTAATTAGCATATGGTTTTGATCCCTAAGATACGAGCTTTTAGTAATAAATAAATACTCAGTACAAAATACTAGTACAAAAATAACAGAAGATAATGACGGTAAGAATAGTTGACCGAAATACAGTATGCTTGAATAATAAACTTTATTCTTATCTTAATGTTTTGAATTAATATTGAGGTATACTCTTTTTGATGCGGTTTCCTTCCCATTTCGCTTATCGCCGATCGCATATGATGCTTAGTTAGTCAGTTTAAATTAGTGTGTTAACTTATTAGCATATGATAATGCTTCCTAACATACGAGAACTTAGTAATTATATACCAATATGCATTATCAGCATTTATCAGCAAATCAGCCTCAGCCGCATTCTGTGGCTTTACTAAACGGATGACTCGCGCGCGCATTTCTATTGCAATTGTTTTAGCACTCTTTGTTGCTGTCGTTGTTTTTTTTTTGTGTTAGGGGCGTTTGTATGCCTCAACGGGAACAACAGCAACTGTAACTGTAACTGCATATTGCATGGGTATCGGTTGGGGGGAGCTATTGACATGCTATCAACACTCACAACTATTGCGCAGCAATTTTGACAATAGCAAAAATATATTAAAGCAATTTCATCGCTGATATCAACTAAAATTCCGGTAAGCTTTTGTCAGAATTGCAATTTTTGTTTTGGGTAAAGGGTTAAAAAACTCGAGCTGAACTTTAAGCTTGTTTGTTGCACTTGCCAAAAGTGACAGCTGTTAACTGTAATACACAGTTATAAGTATATTTCTTGTTTGCTTAACACTATCTTAACAAACAAAATATGTAACACTAATACTGTATTCATTAGGTACATACCTCCAAACGCTAGATGCACTTGCTCTGGCTGATAATGCACTATGCTCGGATCTTGTTGTTGCTCCAAATTCTGATGCACGTTAATGTCTTCTTCCAGCTTCAATTGTCGCTGCACAGTGCTGGCCACGCAAAGTGCTAGCGTTAGAAACAACAAGGTCAAATTAACCATTGTTGTTGTTTTTTTGTTTGTTAGATGTTGACGCGTATATGTATATTTACTGAGCCACACTTGATGACATTGCCAAATCTATATGCGCAATATATTTATAAGCTGTGAATTATTTACTTGTACTTCACAAAAATTATTTCGCTGGTTGCAGCCAATAGCTATAAGCGAAGACTATTGAAACGTCCAGCAATTTATAGAACAACAAAAGTTCGTTTGACAGTGCAGCTGTTATTAATTATCGATATATACGGAGAGTGCGATACATTTCTCACTCGATAGTTGGCAGAGTGACCAGTAATGAAGCGCGTACCAATTGAAAAATTTGAATTGAAAAAAATAAAACAAAGTATGCGGTTGCTTGGCAGGCTTTGTGATGAAAGTTTTTTAACCGTTTTATTATTTCAAAACAATTTTCCGGCAGAATAACTTCGGAAATATATAAAAATAAAAAAATATAATATACAGTACCATGGGTATGGCTGGTTTGTCGGAAGACTTCATAACGTTAACACAACTAAATTGTGTCCAACAGTGCAGTGCATTAATTTACGATCCAAAGCCGCGTAACTATTTGACGGCCGCTGCACTGTTTGGCCTGTATTGCGGCGTACTCATATATCGTTCTTACCGCAATCATCAGGCCAAAGTTCAGGCACGCCGTGAGGTTGTATTGACGACGGTGCCCGAAGAAGTGCCCATCTATGATGAGTACACCTTTGAAGCGCCTACAGTGGTACGGCCAGAACATCCAATCGAACCAACCATTGTCGAGACGAGGCTAATCGAGCGTCATTCAGAGGAGACTCTTCCAGCGGTACCCTAACCCGACTCCCAAATTTGTTTCAGGATGTCACAATTTTACGATGAAATGAAAAAAACGATTGAATTTCAGTTAAAAACGCAAAAGTTACCGACAGTTGTTAAAAGAAAAAAAATCAGCCAGTAAATAAAATTTCATAGAACATATATTATACTTTACATTGAAATTTATTTATTCTTTTGTTCATGCTCGCTAATTAACAAGGCTTAAGCAATAAATTTGTAGATTAATTATAAAAGACTTTTAAGGCAATTTGGCGAAGACCTACGAACTAGACAACTAACATTTCGTATAACTAAATAGTATATATAGTTATATAGGTATATATATATGTATGTATATAGGGAATGTAAATAAACAAAATGTTGGCAACAATTATTAATTTAACTACAAACTAGAAAACACATTTGAGAGACGATCTGCTGGTTCCTTAACTATTTGTCGCTGGCATTTGGACTTCCACTGCCGCTGCCGCTGCCTGGCCCGGTTCCGGTTCCAGGCTTGCGAGTGGCAAAGCCTTCCGGCATGCTACTCTTGCGCTGCGCCTGCGATATTTGCACAATGCGCGACAATGGAGAATGTGTGCTGCTTGTGCTGGGACGCATTAGCGACGCAGGCAACAGTCGCGCCGTTGAGGTGCCCGCCTCATCCTGCCCAGCATTGGCGCCAATGCCACCAGAGCCTGTTGGCGATGTTGGCGACAATTCGCGTGCCAGCGGCGATGGTCGCAGCGAAAGGCGCCTCTGCAGCGCCGATTGGGAACTGCTCATCGGGCTGGGTTCCTCGCTGAGACTGACACCTGGCGGCGGCGCCTGTCCAGGCGGTATTTGCAGTGCGGTCGGGCGCACGCTGAAGCGACGTCGAAACTTGGACTGACCCACAGGCGTGGACGCTGAGGGCGTCAACGGCTTCTCTGTGTAACTGGGCGGCGGCTCCAAATTGTGTATGCCGGATGGACGACGCGTGGCCAAGCCGCTGCTACCGCTGGGCGACATGGTGCCCACAATGGTGGAGCGACGTGCGTACAAGCGATTGGCTGCTGTTGCCTGCAGCGTGCGCGTTTGGTCACCCGCAAACAAGGACAAGATGGGCGGCAGGTGGGGCGGATCGAGACCGGCATTGCCCAGCTTTCGTTGCTTCTTGGTCAGCTTTGCACTGGAGCTGGCAGCCGCCGCCTGCTGCTGTTCCTTCTGATGCTCATCGAGCACCGCATGCGTGTGCACCACTTCGAGAGCGCGAATCAGATCCGCTATGGTGGTCTGCTCCAGCACATCCATATCCTTGTCCGAGGTCACCGAGAAGATGCTGGAGCGTCGTGGCGTTGTATTGCTTGCAAGTGCGCTCGTCGCTGGGAACAGGCTGCCTCGACGTGCCGCAACAGCTGCCATTGCCGCCGAGCCAGAGCCGCGTCGCTGCATCTGGAGCGCTGCTGCGGTTGCTGTCGGCGTGTACATGCTGCCACGTCGAGCGGAGTGTGCCGGATTTTGCGTATAGATGGACTCGCGACGTCTCTTGCCAGCTGCCACTCCAGCTGCTACGGATTTACGTTGATAGGCGCCCGTCGAGCCGAAGGTTGCCTGGTCGGAGTCATCCAGATGGAAGGCCGGATTGCTGATGCCGCCATTGCCATTGCTGGAGGCGAGGCTGGTCGTCGAATCGAAGGGTGGCGGCGGGCCACGGCCATTGCGCAGATAGGATTGGCTGGCGCTTGCCGTTACCGTATTATTGTAGAAGTCCAGTGGGGAGCGAGTGGGCAACGATGTAATGCCCTCTGGCACAGAGACCACGGATAGCTTACGTTCCAGATCCTGCGAAGGTCGCTTGCGATGGAACAGCCTGCGCAGCCCGTCCGGCATGGAGAACTTCTTGACCCGCCCAGCGCCAGCAGCTGCTCCGCTCTTCTTGAGCTGCTCATCAATGTTGTCCGGCTCCTCGAGATGCACCACATGCGGATCACTTGCGGCGCCATTGAGCTGGTTCTTGTAGCGACTGTTAAAGGCCTCCTGGATCTGTTGATTGTCGCCGCTCCAGGTCCATTCGTTGTGATTATGCGGCGCTCGCAGCGGTCGTCTTGGCGGCTCAATATTGAAATCGGAACAGGCGCGACCACGCGGACGACGCGGCGTAGACATTTCGTTGAGGGTCGAGAACGACCATTCGCTGGCCAAAATCTGCGAGTCGGAAAACCCGTGATAGCCGCCATACATGGCGGCATCATCAGCCTCCGGTGGCGGCGGCTGTACCGTGGCCAAAGCGGTAACCACCTTGGCCAGCAGGTCTGTTGTCTGGCGATATGCTTCGGCCGTTTCGAAGGTCTTCTCGCGATCGAATTTGCTTAGCTCCGTATCCGAATTGGCATGCACCATGGCAGTTGGATCCTGTGAAGCCAATTCGGCACAGACGGAAAAGGCGCGTTTTCGACTCGGTATCGGGGCTGGCTCCACACGGTACATGCTGAGCTCCGGGCAGGAGGCCGACCGAGGCACTGTATACGCAAATTCTGTGTCGGTGTAAACGGGCTGTTCATATTAAACGATGAATATCGTGTGCGGTTATCGATAGAGAAGTGCGTGTGCGTGTCGTGTCGTGTTTATTGTTGTTGTTGTACATGTAAAGAGAGCGCAGCATAAGGTGTTGGTATTAGTGTAAATTCAAATACTGTTGTTGATATTATTGTTGTCTCTGTCATACACTCTCTCGCTAGCCCTGACAGCGCTGACTGCAAATCCCGTTATACTTATTTATATTACTTACGCCTGCGCGCCTTCGGCGTGTGTCTAATCTTAATCTTCGTGTTCTTTCTATTTCCCGTTCGACAAAACTACAAAAGGAGAAAATATCACAATTGTTAACTGACTTGTCGGGTGGGGGTTGGGGGTAGTTGGGGTTAATGCTCGCCCGCTTAGTCAAACATTTAGTGAATGCGTAGCCCAATTGTTGAGTTATTGAATTGTTCATTGTTGATTGCTGATTGCTGTTGACGCATTGTAAAGACGGAAGCGTAACGGAAATGTGTGCGTGCCGTTGATTAAACACACATAACCACACACACACACATGCATACCATGTATGTGTATGTATTAGTAATTTGTATTAGTATTTGCTTTTTCGTTTTCATGAGCCTCTGCGCACGCAGCTTTGACGCTGACATCGACGCAGACGCAGGCGCAGCGCTTCGCTTTGAAACGGAAAATGAGCAAACGTCTTTGTGTCTTTCAAAAGTTAGGTTAGATTATGTAAATTGATAAAAATACTATTTTAAAGATTGCACTGAAAAGTAAAACTCCCGCTTAATAAACACACATAAATAGTCCTCATTTAAATGTTAACAATTTGATTATTTAGAGACCCATAAGTATATACTTGATATGTTTTGGTAGCTTTACCTTGACTTTAAGTATATATAGCTCGTTGAGCAGACGTCGCAAGTAGCCCACATCCTTGGTAACCCCCGTCCATATACGATTCTGTGTAGCCTTCAGATTCGATGAGAGCTGCTGTTCCAAGTAAGCCAACTTCTTGCTCTGCAGTCCGCTGTACATATGCGTTCGATTATGTTAGAGCAAAAAAATTATATATATATATAGATATGTATATTAGTTGTATAATTGATGGTAGGTTAGGGCGATGTTTTTGACAGACCCGACATGCAAAACAAATCATGCAAAACTCAATAGACACAATCGAGTCTCTCACTTACCGCGTTATAAATGTCATTATCATGACCAGGTAGCCCAAGGAGAATATAAACCAGACGATCACAAAGATTTGATAGACCACAAACCAGCCGCCAAATTCGCGTGGCTATAGAATCAAGAAACCGTTTACTACAACCAATCTGTAAATGATCGAGCTTTAATTGATCGAAACTCACCTGGTTGGCACCAAAGGTGGGCACAAAATCGCCGAAGCCAATTGTCGATGTCGTTACGTAGCTGTAGTACAGTGAAATCGAATAAGGCCAACTCTCGAAATAGGTAAACACCCACGCTGGCAGTAATAGGAACAAGGCTATACCCGGTATGAGAGCTATAAACACCGTAGTTATCAATCCCAGCTGCGGTGGCACGTAATGATCATCCGAGGACATTTTGTACTTCTTATACCGTCTATAGATCGCCACGAACTGAAAGCGAGTGATATGTTACACAGATATATGGATATATCTATCTATATCTATATCCATATCTATATCTATATCCATATCTATATCTATATCTATATCTATATCTATATCTATATCTATATCTATATCTATATCTATATCTATATCTATATCTATATCTATATCTATATCTATATCTATATCTATATCTATATCTATATCTATATCTATATCTATATCTATATCTATATCTATATCTATATCTATATCTATATATATCTACATCTATATCTATATCTATATCTATATCTATATCTATATCTATATCTATATCTATATCTATATCTATATCTATATCTATATCTATATCTATATCTATATCTATATCTATATCTATATCTATATCTATATCTATATATATATATATATCTATATCTATATCTATATCTATATCTATATCTATATCTATATCTATATCTATATCTATATCCATATCCATATCTATATCTATATCTATATCTATATCTATATCTATATATATATCTATATCCATATCTATATCTATATCCATATCTATATCTATATATATATCTATATCCATATCTATATCTATATATATATCTATATCTATATCTACATCTACATCTATATCTATATCTATATCTATATCTATATCTATATCTATATCTATATCTATATCTATATCTATATCTATATCTACATCTATATCTATATCTATATATATCTACATCTATATCTATATCTATATCTATATCTATATCGATATCTATATCTATATCTATAGCCTTATCTATATCTATATCTATGTGTCTATATCTAGAGGTCTCTCAATCCACTCACCGTACGTCCAAAGTACTCGCCCAATCCGGCAAAGAGTATACCGTTAACTGGTATCCCGATCACTGAATAGGCAATCATGATCATGCGACCCGCGAATGTTGTCGGTGATATATTGCCATAGCCCACAGTCGAGCAGACGGTAAATGAGAAGAAGAAGGCGTGGTAGAATGTCCACGTATATGGTATTTCGTATTCATCCTTTGTATAATCCGTAACTGGCTTTCCACAATAATCCGAAATTCGATCCAAAATCTCGTCTTGTGTGGTCACGTTTTTATTTTCGAACTGCTCCATGAGATACTCTGTAAAACGAGGAAAACAAACCAGATTTAAGATAAGCCGTCTATCTGATTGCTAGTAATATAAAATATAACTAAATGCCTGACTAGCAGACACCCTAATATGATATGACTGTATGATGTCATTGCCTGGCTAGCAGATACTCTAGGATGATCAATTGGATGAGCACTTGGTGATATGACTTAAGGATGTCATTGCCTGAAAAGCTAACGCCCTGAGATGATTGTTGAGAATTCTCGTGAGTCGTATATACCCGCTCCATCCACTTATAAATGGTATCTAGATAAACAAAAAATTCTATTGGAAGAGCACTACAAAACGCAATGAAGCATAAAATGAAATCAAATCAAATCAAATCAAATTTAATTAGTTCTATTACACGTGTTCCGGAAGCAAATGGGAAGCGGGCGTCCGACTGATCGCGTTACAAACGCCATTTAACCTTCCGTTTTTCCGTAAAGATAAAAGAGGAAGCAAAACAATTGCAACTACAGCTAAATGGCTTAGGGTAAAATCGTAACTGTCAACGTGACAACAGATTGACCTGACCCTGGCTCAAGTCGCTGATCGCTGATCAGTGATCTCTGATCGTCGATTGTCAATTGTCAGCTTTGGGTTTTTTGCCCTCTCGCTGCGATTCCGGTTAAGTTTACGGCCATTTACTGTTTAAAATGCGCTCCACACACTGTGGCATGCATCGCGGATCGTAACGATCATTAGGGGCGTACGCTGCTTTGATATTATGCTAAGATATGATTATTTATAGCTTATTTAAATAAATGTGATTGTCGCTTACTTGAAATAGTACAGATTCGCAGTTAAGTGAACTATTTATACAAATCTATTTGTGCATGAATATTCTTCTAAGCCAAGATCAACTAGAGATCACTTTGCTGTATATTTGCAAGGTGGTCTCAAAGTGATCTGGCCTATCAACTAGATCTAGTGATCTGGAGTTGACCTTGACTATCAACGATCTATATATTATAGTTAAACTAGCTGGTAGTCAAGTCAAGTGATCTCTAGTTGATCTAGCTGATAGCCAAGCCAAGCCATTTCTAGTTGATCTAGTTGATAGTGAAGATCAACTCTTGGTATAGAGTTAGATCTTTTGCCTGACAAAGTATAGTTATACGTATAAAGCTCTATCTTTCAGTATTTGTCATATATATATCTGATCTTGGGTGCAATTCGTTTGACATTAACTGAGTGCAATCATTCAATAAACCCTAAGCCCCACAGGCAAATGCAGCAAATGACAACAATTTTCTAGCCGTAATCTTTTAACAAATTGCATAATTCAATAAATGCGACAGACAGATATTTAACAAAAGCCTTCCCAGTGGGAGGCTTCCCAGTTGGTTCGCAATTGTGGGCAATTCACTTTTCAACGATCCCAGTGCAGTTCCATGTTCCATGTAGATAGTAATGGTAATCTCTATATCTGTCTCCTCTCGCTCTCTCTCTGTCTACATCTCCCTCTCCCTCTCTCTCTCTCTTTCCAGCATGTGAGCTGTGATATTGTTGCCTTTTGTTGTCATCCGGGTCTTTTTTTGATTGTGATTGCGGGCAATTTGTTCATAGACGTCGATCATTAGCACAAATTCTTGTAAGTCTTAGAAGCCTAACTAACGGCACAAACTAGCGAACATTAATTGAGATTAAGTTTTTGGATGGCGTTTATCTAGTTTCGTGTGTTTTTCGTGTTTTGTCTCATGACGATTTGGGGGGCAACGGAAATGTTTATGTCAAGCAAATTGATCAATTTAACAGTTGATCGTGAGGTCAAGGGATGGAAGGGATAGAGAGAAAGTTCAATTCATACAGAGATCAGTAAAAACTTAAGCAAAGCATTGAAGGAAGATTACTGGAAGAACTCGGAATTGAGTCAAGCAATATCAATTCACGATCGACGAGCAGATATATGAATCAAAAGGGAAATGATCGTCCATCTTCTAATTCAATTTAAGATCATGATCTCATAAATATTTAAATCAATAACACGAAAGTTTAAGATCGCTGATCTTTAAGTCTTTAATATGAATTATAATTTGAGCAAGAGGAAGATTCATTGAAAGACAACAAGATCACCAGGTTCGAACGGTTTCGTTCCCTTATCAGTGACGGGACTATCTAAGGTGATTAACTGTAAATGTCAACATCACATGTTTGTGCACACACTTCCGAATGATAGGTGATCCATAGTCTTAGAGCAGGCTACATTGGGTGCTACGAATGCGCCATTGAAGTGCCTTTGGAAGCCCAATAGCTTAATATTGTTATTGATATCAAATACTACCTAGGCTCTGGACTATATGCATAAGTGATACATGTAAGTGTGATAAGGGAAGGCCATATTAAGACTCAGGTCAAAAGCGGGGATCAGTGTATGAAACCATAGCTGCCAAGCTCATTGATCGTGCAAACTGTTAACTCATTTAACCCAGAAGCTTATATATATATATGTACGTCAAGGTATGTATATGTATATATATTCGAGTGACCTATGCATTATGCAATCGAGATCTTGTTTCCGTTTCAATTTAAACAAGCGAAAGTACTGCAGCCGATATTGCTCGACTTGCAGATACTCCGTGATCTGCCAAAGCGACATGTATCTAGTATCTAGTATCTAGTATCTAGTATCTAGTATCTAGTATCTAGTATCTAGTATCTAGTATCTAGTATCTAGTATCTAGTATCTAGTATCTAGTATCTAGTATCTAGTATCTAGTATCTAGTATCTAGTATCTAGTATCTAGTATCTAGTATCTAGTATCTAGTATCTAGTATCTAGTATTAGTATCTAGTATCTAGTATCTAGTATCTAGTATCTAGTATCTAGTATCTAGTATCTAGTATCTAGTATCTAGTATTTACAGGGTATCAGAAGCAACGCATAATATAACATTTATGTGTATGCAGTTGTAGGTCTAGAGTTATATGTGTCGACGCACGTCTTGGTTGGACGATGTCTAATTGGCATTTATAGTTTATTTATCTGAACAATTAGCACATTTTTATGTGCTATTTAAATTTGATTTTATTGCAATTATAGTGGAATAACCCTCAAAATAAATACGATCGCGATTTGTGTGTCTGATATCCGCACACACCTACACTCCTGCACAGGTACACCTACACACGGAGAGGTATGTAAATCACATTCGTATCAGTGCAATTAATCACGAATCCGATTCGCACACTTGCTAACTCATAAAGCTCATATTTCTCTCGACATTTACGCACGTTTGGCAAAACGAAAATAAAATCGAGTTAAGTCATTTCTCTTCGTCTACAGTTTTATGTGTGCTCTGTCACACCGAATTGGCTGTGCTCTATAGGTCTAGTGTGGAAGCAAGTATGTGTATAAATAACGTTTATGCCGTACAGTTCATGATCATGCTATTAGCACGTTAAGTTGGCTGCGCTTGAACTGCGCTGAAATGAAAATCAGGCGATTTTTATGATTTACTCTCAGTGTGACTAAATTGAATGAAAAATCAGTTTATGCTTTGCTAATTTCGTAAACTGTTTTAGCTTTCTAAATATAGATTAGTCTACGTATGTGCCATGAAGCTCGTGCTCTTGCTATTTTTGCTGATTTGTTGATTTCACACGACTTAATGATAGCACGCTCTAAATATAGATCAATGTGTCTAAGCTACGTTCATGCCATGAAGTCCATGATTTCGCTGTGAAGTACAACACTTTCCAGATAATGTGCTTCAACTACAGTTTGAGCTACGTTTATGAACTTCATGAATTCTCTGTTTGCTATTGTGTCTAAGCTCTAGCTGTCTAAGCGCCGATATGACTACGTTTATACCATGTAATACACGATTTGGCAATGGCTGCGCTTGCAATACGCTTAACAGTTCGCCAACTTTTTGATTTCTTGCTGTTGCACAAAGTGTTTGCCAAAGTCTTGCTACCCGCATTCGATAGATGTGCCCGCCCTATCTTTAATAGAGTTTTTTCGGGGGCGTTTTTGGGAACTGCGCAAGCAGCAGTTAAAATGTTTGTTATTTTCTTTGGCTAAGAATTCGTGGCAGACAGTTTAGTTGCTAGATATCACATGGGCACGAAAAAGCTAACATAAAAGTATTTATGCTTCTGATATTTGAGTCGAGCTGCTCTGCTTCGGCTGCTGATGATGATATCTTTCGACAGCTACTGTTTATGTAGCTGTCTAACTATCCATATCTAGATATATATATATGTATAGCTGTGTCTAGACGGAGGGTACGTACCATAGATTTGAATGCGTTCCTTTAGCTGCTCGGCCCGTGCTTCCTTCTCCTCGCCATGCTCGATGTGATAGTAGATGGCAGCGCCAAACAGCAGATACGATATATAGAAGATGAGCAAGAGTATCCAACGATTCGGCGACATGCTCGACCTGTCGCTAACTTGGCCGAAAAGGATAAGGCTGCAACCAGACATAATAGCCACAAAGCAAAATTAAACAACCATTCGGTGCAGAGTAGCTTGTAAATTGTGTGTTGCCTGAACTAAACAGTTTTCTATTCTATATATATATAGTTATATATATATATTGTTTATGGTTTGTATCAGCATTAATCGACGCTCGATTGCGATTAACTGTCTCTATATATTGATATATACACATACTTATGAAATTCTTTTGGGGTAGTGCCACCTGCGCTACCTGCAGTGCAGAGAGTCTTATGGGTTCAACGTTCAGTCTTCATATAGCTGAGCTCGCGGCGCTGCCAGTGCCCCGTAAGACCAGCTAGCTAGCCGAGAGTTTATATCCATAGCAAATACTTGGGTCTATAAACGCGAATGTAGGGTATTATCAATTTTGATGTTGCAACGTGTGGAACATGCGAAGAGTTTATACAGATATGCCTCCAGCCATGGCACTAATCTCTAGATGAGATGATGAGGTTTACTGCTATAACAATTCTTTGAGTCGCAAAGTACCTTCAGCTACTTATCTTTATGAATTATAATATAACTATAAACTATGTGAAACCGATTTCAATGGTGATCTACCCATCCTCAAGCTGCTTCGTATAGGGTATTTCAACTTCGACGTTTCGACATTGAAGACTCACTTTGGCTCTACATTGTTATTATGATCAGCTTGAGGCCCCCGTCACAGATTTCCTACCGGGCACGACGTCAGTGTGGACAATGCTGAGGCGACGTCATTTGGTCGGGTTAACATATTGACACATCTAATCATATCGCCAAGACGGTAAGCGCCCGAGTATTGCTGCTAATTTCTACCTACTTTTTACCCATTGAAAACGCCTTTGAACGGGGTATTTTGCCTTGTAAGTCCATTCGGACTTACATCATATATTTCTCTCTCTCACAGTCTTTCGCTCCAAGTAACAGGCACTCGATCTTTTCGCTGTCTGTCTCTGTCTGCTTGCTATCTCAATCAATCTAATTCTGTCGATCGGGCAACAGCTATAGATCTGACATAATAGTTCTCCTAGGCTTGTAGATTCGTAGATTTTGTAGATTCAAGTCCTATTTCAAATCATCGATAACTTCTTCAGCATGAGATCGATATAAATCGATATCGAGCTTTAGTTAGTTGAACACGTTTCTCAGATCTTAAAGGCTTGAGTGACCATTTGGCATCTAAATGTGGTAACAACATGACTCCCTGCATTTCCCCAACTCAAGGGTGTCGCCTAGTCAGTCACTCGTTATTGGAGTCCATTGGCAATGGGCATGTCTTGTTATCTGTCTGAGTTTAGGTTTGGTGACAAACTGCCTACTTGGAAATTTACCACATTCAATTAGCAGCTCGATAAAAATATAAGAAATAAAAAAATATTGAGAAAACTTGAATGGGTTGACAACTCTGAAGCTGTTAAGATGTTAACGATTCGCACCTGCCACGACTTTAGTTGTTTTGTGAAATAGTGCGACGATAATAGGATAAGAAAAAATAAAAAACCCAAGAATATCAATATTAATATAATGTTCTGCTGTACTTCTGGCCAAATCATAAAGATAATTGCAACTAGCTACTCGAACATGTTGAGGTAGCTCCCTATTAATACTCGTAGTATCCATATCAGACTTTTTATGTGCCTTCTTGGCTAAACAGGCGGGGGGCTTTACGAATGTACTTATAATAAAATTAGTGGATCCTACGTTATCTGTAATCTTGGAGATCTTGCAGATCTAGCTAACTTAAAGAACTAGAAATAAAATTGAATGCATAATAATTGATTAGACATTCCTAATAATACCAAGTTTCTCCGAAATAATTTCGAAAGTTTTGATAAGCACTACAGGGCATTCAAGGTAATAAAAGCAATATTTCACAAGAACTTTGCTTTATGAAAATCTATATATATAGACATAATTAACTATATCTATATCCATTTCTAGAGTCATATGAATTGTATGAACACCCTTTTTATATAGAATAGATCTGTGGGATTTATATTGTATATGCTTCTTGGGGCTATTCCATCTAATATACCGATATAGAAAATGTAGAGCCTTAGTGCAAAGTGTTTATAATACCCTATACTCTAGAGCGAAAAATACTATAAATAGAAAATATAGTCTTTCTGTCTCTCGTTTTCCCTCACCCGTTCTGCCTTTCTCTTTCTTTCTATCTCCCTTTCCATGTATCCCTCTCTCTTTATTCATCTCCATCTCCCTTTCTCTTTTCTTTTTCCCTTTCTCTCACTCCCTCTCTATTTCTATTTCTCTATTTCTCTCTCTATCTCCCTTTCTATGCATCCCTCTCTCTTTCTTCATCTCCATCTCCATCTCTCACTCACTCTCTCTCACTATCTGTCACTCTCACTCAGTCTCTCTCACTCTTTCTCACTTTCTCGCTTCTTTCACAATTTCTTCACTAATTCTTCCAGTTCAATCGATACACATTCAATCGATAGTCATCTCTCTTAAGATCTTACCCAAAAACCCAATCCATAAATAAAAACTGTTTTCCTTTTTATTTTCCTTCTGCATGTTTTATAGTTCACTTGACTTCTTTGTTGAGCTAAAAGTTTTGTTATCTACAAATCGTTTTACAGTTATTTACAACCACTTTAGCTATTACATGCGTTATTACCAAACTCATTCTGAGGGCATCAACGATCTACTATGTATATTGTATATATATATATATATATATATATATATATATATATATCTATATATTTGTGTATATTTTCCAATGGCTGTTCAAGTGAAGAGCTGATAATATTTTAGTGCATACAATATCATTTATTCAATTATCAATTTATATATAGCAGAGAACAGGTATTGGGAATGTTTTCTAAGAGTTATCTATGAAAAGGCAATAAGAATTGCGTATGGCCAACAAACTGGGCTAAGCATTTTGTTAACAATAATCAAAATAAAAACACAAAGTAAACAAAGGCAAGTCAGAGTTGTGATCGACTAGTAGTTACCCTAGAAAATGCTCATACAACTCACAATTCCACTTTTAGGCTATATAGGTAAGTAAAGTTAGGCTTGTGATCGATAAAAGTTATCGACAGTAAGTAAAGCGCATACTTTCTGTCAGCCAACATACATGTATATAAAATTTGATAACTCTTGCACTTAAAAGGCCTAAGTACTAACTAAATGACTTTAGATATCGATATTAATCGATTTTACACATATATATCTTCTATGTGCAGTTTAATATCAATTTTAATCGATATCATACAAATTATCGACAATTTTAAATAAACTTGATCCAGGTGTTGAGTTCTAAGTCTTTCAGACAAGCAAACAGGCGGAAAGACAGGTAATCTGAACTATATTTATTCTGATCAATAATATATATATATTAGACTGGATCGACGCCTCCCTCGCCTCGACGCCACGCTTCCTACTGTTTACAGGGTATACAATCTGTTGTCTCTCTATTGGGCGCGTTCGTCAACGATGATGACGCGCCATTCAATGAAAGTCTTTGGATTTTTATTGTATTTGATTTGATTTCAGTTCATTGTAAAAAAGAGGAAAAACAAACAATTTTTGTTGCCCTGAGTTGGGCTTGTCGCAAAATTTGGTTGTGCCATGGAAAATTCTGCACAAACAAAAAGCCAAAAAAAAAAAAAACACAATTTTTTTTACGTGTCCAGACGAAAAAAGAAGCCGCAGCCACAACAGCCGCAGCAGCAGCAGCAGCAGCAGCGGTAGCGACAGCAGTCTATGATCATGCAAATGAATTTAATTTGATGTTTGATTTGGCTAAGTGCGAAAAACAACAGAGCATTTCATATAGCCACAATAAAGCTTACTAATTGATCATCAATGTGACCCACACACAATCAACAAAGCAATCGATCGTAACCCCAAAGTAACGTATTCGAAATAAAAACTACAAGGATCGAAGATCAAGTTTTAATGATTGCAGCGATCAGATCAAATTATGAACTTAACAATTTCTGCACAGTTAAGAGTAGCAGAAAGCTTAAGTCTTTATGAATACCCTATAATTTTGAAGTTTTTATGTGGGTATTTTCTGTAGAGACAAGAACAATATATGGCTCACTTTAGAGAGAGAGAGAGAGAGAGAGTGAAAGAGAAGACGTGGAAGAATGTGAGAGATAGAGGAGAATGAGGAGAGAGAGGACAGAGAGGAGAGAAAGGAAGCGAGAGGGAAAGAAACTAAGTGAATGAGACAGAGAGAAGAGAGAGAGAGAGAAAGAGAGAAGAAAGAGAGAAGGAGAGAGATAAAGAAGCTGAGAGAAAGAGAGAGAGGGAGAGAGAGAACAAAAAAGAAAGGGAGAGCCTAATAGAGAGAAAAGCAGAGACAGGGGGAGAGAGTGAGCTAGATAGAGAGAAAGAGAAAGATAAAGACAGAGAGAGAGAGAGAGAGAGAGAGAGAGCAATAGAGAGGGATAGCAATGAAGAGGGAGAAAGAGAGCAACAGAAAGAGAGAAACCTTAATTAAGAATTTTTGAACTGAGTATTGGTCAGATCATGCACTATTTATATATATAATAAATATACAATATATATATATAGTAATATATTTTTGAATAAAAATATTTACATATACTGAGCGTTAAACAGTCGCATAATCAATAATAAATAGCAACAAATGCAAATGAACACGTTTTGTAAATAATCACGACATTTTGCTATGTGGGAAGGTGCTACGGTTAGCTCCTCTGACGTAGCATCTGGACAAGCACACGCAGAGGGAGAGAAAGAGGTGGGGGGAGAGAAGTGACTATACCTTTACAGCTATCTCTTGGATAAATGACATGCATTGTACGAGGTGTACGAGCTTCTTTTCTTTTCTCTTCTTTTATTTAATATTTTGCCAAGTCTCGTTTCGCTTCGCTTCGTCTCGTTTCAGTCGTAATGCTAATTATGTTGACATTGTTGAACAAACCAGTTCACATGCATGATTAATTGCATTTCGATCTATCAATGTCTCAGACTTCGATCGTCGATCGTCGGTCGTCAATCGTGTCTTCCCGTTAGTAGTTGTATTTGGGGGCAGTGATAAGAAACAAGAATCCACCGACTCCTAACTAACTTGATGGCGTTTCACAGCTGACGTAGTGAACGGGAGCGGGGCAGTGTAGCGGATGGCGCTGAGTTACACGACAATTAATAATGCCAACTGACATAGCAAGTAAATGTCGATAATATGTATAAAACGACCGACCCAAATAACTTATAACTCAAAAAAAAAATATTCGTCAAAAATGCTCGACTAATAGTTGCGCTGTTTAACCTAGTTAATATACTCAAAAAAAACATTTCGATATTTATCGATCATGGACATTATCTTCGAGCAACATTATCCGCTTCTGGATATAGCAGTCTACATCTCTAGACAGAAGTCTCTTGACCTTAATAGTCCTTTAACTGTTTGCACTTCAGTTACATATGAATTCGCTAGTTATTGGGAATGTTTTAAAAAATTAAAATTTCTATATTTATCGATCACATTAAACAACTTTCTTAAACTCGATGTTGTATATGATGTAATATTTTATTGAAATTCGTTTGCTTAAAAAGGTCATACAATTAAGTTCGATATTTATCGATCATAGAGATAAGCTGCGATTAATTTATAGCGATCAATTTGATTAAATTTCGATTGCTCCATATAAAATTACAGCTGTCTACGGAACTTGATCCACTAAGGATCCAATATATACATATATATAACTTGTAGGTTTCCAGATGACATAAATGTGCACTAGATACATTATACCCCATTTCATTCACACTTTCAATTTATTTTATTTACTTATCTGTGGATCATTGAAGGATTTTGCTGTGCAATCACAAATGTTGCTAGAAACATTTGGCGCTTTGGCAACATTTGTTGCCAGCAACATGATTGATGGCAGGCAAAAGCAAACCGACTAATAACTAAAGCAAAGCGATAAGATGAACAATAATACATTATGTATATATATCATATAGTGCTATATAGAGAGTGGGCTAAAGAATTTCAATAGTTTCTTTTATGCTTTCGTCTGTTTAAAGATCGAAAAAGAAAAACAATCGTTCGAAAAACAATCGTATTATAATACAACAATTTCGCTAATTAAGCGCATTCATTAAAATGACAGTCAATCTATAGAGCCCAACGAGTCAGGGGGTCTAAAGGCCTCACACACACAGATTGATTACAGCCATACACATACATACGTACATACATACAGCTTATGTAACTATGTATATAAGTATAGACGTGCTGTCTTAACTGGAGCAGAGCTGCATTTTAAAGATCGTTTAGATTGTTCACTAAACGAAACGTGCTTAAAATTCAGTTTAAGCTAAACATTTCAAGAAGCTATGCTCAAAACATAAATATCTATTATTTCAGACTCTAGAAGAGAAAAGAGTTTAATATTATTCTAAAGTCACGTTAAAAGAAAACAGATTTCAGAATTAATTTATTGAGAAACTAAGATTTACTATACATAATTGCAATATCTATCATGAAATACGGAGTCTTCGGTTCAGCTCTAAAGCTGTAGAAGATACAGTCATATATATATATATATATGTGTGTGTGGTCTTGGCTTGTCTACACTTGCATATGTTTGAAATCTCAGAACCATAAATAATAGAGTTTCTATTTATATTGCAAATAGTATTCCCCGATTTGACACAGTCTCTAGGGGGCGTTTTGGGAAGCTCTACACTTTGTCAGACGAGCTTATGAACACAAATATAATTCTCCAGATGGCAGCCAGACAGATATTTTGTAAAACCAATATACCCTTTTCACTTCCTGAGCGAGCATAAAAAAGAAAAACATTTGGTTTCGAGAACATGATGTAACATTATCTTATATATCGAGTATCTAAGATTTTTTTTAAAATCAGTTCTAGAAAGTGTTTTCTATATCCTATATTATATATATAAAACTACGCAAAGTAGGGAGGGAAAGAAAGATTTACTTGAAGTGCTCAGCATACATAAAATATTACTTTAAAATAAACGTGTCGAACCTTTGTATAGTCCTTCATAAACTTAAGATAAAGTTTTGCCCTACATATTTTGATACTGTTCAAAGTACTGAAATCGATATGTAACCGATTATTGGAATGTGTTCACACACACACTTATGTATGTTACATATATACAAATGCATGTATGTATGTATACAAGCATTTTCGCAAACCGGATCATCTGATAAGCTGGACAGAGAGACGCATGCATATTACACACAGAAGTACATTTTTTATTGATAATACGGCTAAAGTATTTCGACACTCGCACTGGACATAATAAGGCAGGAATACAATGGATCTAGCCTATACACACACATATACCCAATATATGTATATGTAATACTAGAGCACAGTTCATTAGCCTTGCCATATAAATGATATAGCAACGAGTAATGGGACTTGAATTAAAGCTGATATCAAAAGATTCTTATGAATTTATAGACACATATATATTTTTACTGTTATCAATATTCATAACAGTGAAAAGAAAAATTAAAAAAAAAATCAAATCCCTAAGCACAAGATCTGCAGGAGTTGGAGTATTTTCTTGGCACTATTTTTTTAACATACAATTTATAAGACTGAGTTTTTTATTTAATTTTATCATGTTTTTTGTTTTTTTTTTAGAATTTTTAATATTATTTATGATTATATTTTAATACCCACACTTAAGTAATCCGAGAAGCAATCGAAAAAAAAAAAAAAACAACAAATTTTTCGCACTGCACAAAATTTCTTTGCTTTGTCCCGTTATAAAAATTGTAATAATAAAAAAATAACACAGCGCGCAACGAGAAAAAAGTTAAAGCCGCTGCAGAACGAACGAAACAGCAAAAAAAAAGCAACCGTTGATCGCGACGAACAGGACGTTAACCGTTACACGGCGCGCATTGAATTGAAATTGAAGCGCTGCAGGCGGCGGTCTGACACTTTTAGTGTATGCCCCTGTATGTTGTCTGTCTGTCTGTGTCTGCGTATGTGTGTGTGTCTCCGTCTGTGCGCATGTGTGTGTAACGCTGATTTAAATTGAAATGCTTATATAGCTCACGTCTCTGCCACTAGTCGAGTGCTCGCGGCAGCTGCGCAGCCAGCGTTGATGAATTGCAATTAGAATTTTAGCTGTAAGCTTAACGGTAAACGGCTTTAGCGGTAACGGTAACGGTAACATTTACAGTTGCGATTACAGGCTATTATGCTCTGCAGAGGGCACACACGCCCATACACACACACACACGCGCCCACAATGCACAACGCTCGCTACGTCGTTACGGTACGCGATACGTCCATCATATGACTGCTCGTTGGTATCCGGAGCTAAAGCTGCAGCCAAGTCCGACTATCAACACCTCCTTTTGACGGCCGATCGTCTTCGTCTAGCTCACACGCACACATACACCCGGAGCGACAGAGAGATACAGAGAGAAACAGTCGAGTGTACGCGCTTAACCACTCACTTGTGCGCTCTCCTTTGCTCATTCGTTTTGTAAAAACATGTGTGAGATTTTTTAGTATTGTACTTTATTTTATTTTATTATTATATATATACTTATTTTTTTGATCCCGTTGTTCACTCACTTTGAGCCGAATTTGTTGATTTGGAGTATTTTCGCGTTGCGCGCGTATGAGAATCCGATCGGGGAATTCGGTTTGAGTGAGTGGTTTGTGTCAAACAGCGACGAGCTCACGCCGACCTGTCCCCTTGCGCCCCTTTGCACGCCCCACCCCCACCTCCAAAACACACAGTTTACTGTTGTCTACTGCGACTAACTAATACACGTGAAAAAAAAAGAAAATCACAAAGTAAATAAATCGGCGATCGACAAAAGACAACTACGAAAATTGCGAACACTTTTTAACGCCATCTCCTTTTGACCCCCTCCCCTCCCTCACTCTGTACGAACAGTTCGAGCATGTAGTACTTACGTTTTGCTACCAATGAACGGCAGTAGAGCAATCGCACCGTGGTTAAATGCTTATGATACGGTTTGCTTGGTTAGCGGGTACGTATTATCAAATTCAAAGGATAATACGCTTGAAGCTTGAACTTAATCATTAATGAAAAGGTTGCCTAAGGGATCTAAATGATAGATTTAATGATTTGTTAGCAACAAATTTTAAGATGACCATTTGTCGCGGCGAAAACAGTCTATTTGATTTAAGAGCTAGCTTTCAGCTTTGAGTTTTCAGTAATAAATAAACTTTAAGCAAAAAGCAGAGAATATATATGTATATTTAGAGATGTGTCTATATAGTACAAAATCTATATCTGAAAATGAATCAACTTGATATATACATACACATATACCGACACCACGAATATAGGAATACTCTTATGCCTTACCTTTACTTACTTACATTTACTTTACCGCAAACAAGTTATCACTGTGCACAGTGAGGCATTGATTTCGGCTTTGTATTGTTCTTATACTCTTTGGATGTTATTGTTGTTGTTGTTGCTATTTTCACTGGCATGGCAGCAAATTTGTCAGCGTATTTACCCACCCAACGGGTCTCAGTTCCGACTGCTACTATATGTGCATGTATGTACGTATATACGCCGTGGCATGGGCCTCCCCCTGCCCAAATGGCGACGACGCGCCGATGCCGCCGATGCCAATGCTGACGCCAAACCCAAACACACCCACAACAATATCAGTAACAACAACAAAGACTACACAGCAACTGCCGGAGCGCAAATGCTTTGTCTACGGATTTAGTGCTTTACGACGAAGGCGCCAAGACCCACCTTAACCATCCAACTCACCCACAACAAAATGGCATCACATGACAGTTTACATATCCATCCGTTCGACTGATCTGGCAGCACCGACGCATGCGTAAGTCCTTGAACAAGTTTTCGCCGTGTATTCATTGCGAGTCTGGACACTGTGGCTGGTGCACAACACCGCGTGCACGCCGCGCGCATCGTTTTGCATCTGCCAATAATACGACTGATGACACAGATTATTTGAGTTGAATTATCGCAGTTTTTTCTGCCCTATCCCTCGAGAGTCTAATCTGTTGACTCTAATTTGTTTTACCTAAGACCTGAGTACAGATAGCTACACACATACATATGTACATATATACTTATGTACATGCACACACATATGCACATAAGCTTAATATACGAATAACGGCATCACCAACGGGCAGCGGAGAAGACGGCAGTGTAGAAGCAATAAGAAGAAGAAGAAGAAGCAGCAACAGCAGCAGCAGCAGCAGCGCAACATCTATAGCAAAAGATAGTGTTGATAACAAACACTCGAGAGTTAACATACACACACACATTTACATTTGCAATCAAATAGGTGGATAACAGAAGTCGCTGCCGCTGCCGCTGCTACTTCTGTTCACGCCTGCAGCGACGCTAGCGTAAGCTTAGCGCTCACAAAACTCACGCTTAAGTGGTGCTGCAAAAAAATCATGTGTATATAAAAAAAAAACAGAAGAACGAAAAAACAACAAAAAAGTAGAGCAAGTGGCCGCCGCTGCCGATCGCATAGGTCGGGGATGGTGACAATTGGTCAGCGCGGAGCATGCAATGCCCTACGCCCAGCTTGGCATATCCATAGTCATATAAGTCTGCTCAGAAGTGATTAATGACAACTCACAGAAAAGAAAAAACAACATTGTACATGATTAATAATGTTAAAACATATCTCACGTGTGCTGTGACGCATGATTAAAAGTTTATCAAATTCTTTCCAGTTGAAAGCAAAAAAAGTTTGGGCATTCCAGGCAGTAAGTCCGCCCCTTCCAAAAATGAACATAATAAATAGGAAAAAAAAATAAATAGCGTTTTACTCTGATTATTTGAGATAATTCCGAAACCTTTACAAATTAGCAAAGAAACAGAGAGTTAGCCATTATAATAAAATTTTTATTTATATAATAGTTTTTGATTCTCATATGTTTGTTTCTATAATTTTTTGTTTTATTTATTATTACAAAATAGTGAATATTTAAGTCTTCAGACGTTCCAAAAGTCTTATGCAAATCGTTAAGTCCGAATTGGTTGGGGTCAGGGCGCAAAGTCGATAAGACGATAAATCAGAGCGTACAAATAACTCAACAAGGTGCTAAAACATGTAATCGAGCTCAACCAAAGAGGAAAGGAAGTGCGAAATTGAGTGTAAAATGAGCGCACGCACTCAGACAAAGACACAGAGAGAGCGAGAGAGAGGTAAGCTAGAAACTGTTAATAGATACAATTTACAAGCGATGCTAAATCAAATGTGTGATTCTCTTGTTCTTGATCTTGCGCTTGTCTTAATCTTGCTGCGGAACTGGAACTGTTGGAAAAAGATCGTTAAATTTGAATTGTGATTCATTTGCATTGAGCGCATATTTCTTTCGGTTATCATTGATAAGTATAATTTATTACTATCGTATTAGCTGCATTTGATACTTTGATGTATCGACGTTTATACCAACATGAAAAACATTAAAAAAACGCGAATCAAGTGTATTTAAATAAATTCAAATGAATTGTAATTGATGGGCGCACACATTCAACTCAATTTTAACTTCGACACTCACACACGCACACAGACACACCTGATTTATAGATCGATCGATGTTTCATATGAAATACACTTACATACATACACCTGTACAACGTTCAATGTCAACACCTGAATATGATTAATTTGCTGTTTGTTCTCATGTCTGCGCCTAAAAGTTGACAAATCAAAATCAAAGTCAAAACTTCATTTGACTGATGGAAAGCAAATAAAAGCCATACAAATTTAAGTCTGCGACAAATTTACTGTGTAAACAATACAAAAATATTTCGATTATTTATTAAATGTTTCCGTTAAAATTAATTCCTCATTTTCTTATAATTTATGTCTACATAACAAAAAATAGGTATAGTTGTCCAGAAAAAACTCGTATAAAATTAATTTAAAGAATAATCAAAATATGTTTAAGTTAATTGGAAAACAAGAAAATTAAATTAAAAACTAATTTGATTAAAAAAATTTTCAAGGCCTACAAATTTGTTAATTTTCAATAATTTATTGCACATGTTCTTAAAACATACTTAATTACTGAATGAGAAATATGTATAATTAAAAAAAAAAATAAGTTTGAAATTAAATTAATATTTATATATATATTATATTTTTTACTAAAAATGAAATGAATATTTAAAAAATATATATTTAAAAAAAAAAAACTGTTTTCTGTATCGAAAAAAATTTAGTTTTTTATTATTTTAAAATAAAAATTTTTATTTACAAAAAACAATTAGGTTAACTTTAAAGCAAATAAAAATTAAAATTAAAATTGATGCTTAATTTTTTAAATTAAATGTTTTTTTTGAAGAAGTAGTTCAACTGCTTTATAGATAAACTAAACTAAACTAAAATGATCTAAACCAACATATACGCCCAGTGGAAAGATCTGAAAAGAAGTGTATCATCCATAGTTCCCAGTTGAGCTCTACTCTACTTAGCTAGAGTCAAGATAGATAAACGAAACGATTTAAAAAATTTTGTTTCTTTTGGTCCCCGAAGATGTATGACGTAGTCGGTTGGAGCCGACCTCTATTTTTATTTATTTTTAAATAGATTTTAAACAAAATCACGTAAGCTTATATGTTTATCTGGCTTAAAATATTTTTGTGTATGTTTACCTATATATGAGAGGGTAGCTTGAAAAATTATGAACAAATATGGTATGTTTCCATATGATTCACTTAAGTATTGTTAAGCTTTGCAGATATTATTTGCTTTGACCTGAGACTTGGCTGTATAGCTATGGAAGAACTCTTCTTTTAACTAATCTCTCTATCGCTTTCTCTTTCTTTTATACTAACTGTCTCTCTTTCTCTTTCTCTCACTCACTTAATCTCTCCCTCCCTCTCTCATTTATAGATAACTAAAAGCAAGAGCTATATGAAAATCGACTTGCTTATTGCCTAACAATATATATTGATTGATTGATTGATGGATAGACTGATTGATTGTGATTGATTGATAAAACATCTGAATTCCATTTGGCTGTATAAATTTGTTTAATCGTCTTGTAATCGCATTATAAAATATAAACAAGTTTTGATTCTATAAATTGGCTTAATTTTCTATTGGCTTGACTGATGTGATACAGAAAGACAATGTTGACCAATGAGCGGCTAATGCATTAGACTTTAATAATTGTTGCTTATGAGGTGTGTAATGTTCGCAATGATCTTGCAGCCGTTTTTGTGGTGCAACAAATTGAGGCATGGATCACGTATCTTCTCTTCGAGCAGCTTGATCAGTTCGGTGCGCAGACATTGGACCAGCTCCGCCGTCTCGTGGTTGTGCGCCTTCAATATGATCCAGCCGCTCTCCAGTAGAAATAGGAAATCTCCATCATGCAGTTCCACCTTGAAATCGGATCCGGCAAAAAGGACCAAAGCAATCAGTGGCAGCATCGAGCAGTCGCGTATGTAAATGGAACTGGTGCACACCTTCTCCTGGTAGACGAGGAACGGTGCCTGGAAGACAGCGACCTGAGAGTTGACAGACGACGGATGAATGCGCACATAGCCATCGCCGCGCGTCTTAAAACGCAAATCCTGATGGCCCGGCTCGCGCGGCACTGCGCCACCCGCTGTCTGTATATAGATGCGATCCGGTGTCATGATCTTCACAATATTCGGATAGAGAGCTGCACAGAGCAGCGATGTCAGCAGTCGATTGTTCTCGCCATTCACATTCTGCTCGTGACCTAAAGCAGCGGAGTATAAGTATATCAACTGGATGAGGGTCAGATGTGAGCTACTCACCTGTTAGCTGAAGTATATTGTCGCTGCTATTCGGCCTGCGGCGTGGCACATTCACAGGCACAAATCCAATCGAGACAAGCAACTCCAGATATTGATACTTGAGGTCTGCAATCATCTCGAGCGTATTGATGGACAAATAGTTCTCACTCGCATAATTTCGGCTGGCTCCATAGTGTCCACGTTTCGCCACAGCGAGCCATTTCTGCGGGTAGAGAGGTAAGAGACGATGCGCTTAGAGATGGTGGTTAAATACTGACTAGTTGATTGACTGACTGACTAACTGTCTATTGACTGACTAACTGATCGACCGACGCGCTGACAGATGGAGTAATTAATATTATTGCCTGACTGATCAATAGCTGTCTATATAAATCCGAAGTGAACTAGCTGAGTATACTTGATTGATTAGATTTTTTATGAATATTCAGTGAATATCTCACTTTCATTCACTTACTCGATAAGCATTCAGCACAGTGAGATGGTCGCTGTGATCGAGCGCAAATTGTCGCTTGCGTTTGTCAGCTTCGACGCGTTTGTTCAGGGGACTGACAAAGGGCGATTTGTTGCTCAGGCAGGCGGCGATGGTTAGTACGCTGTCCAGGCACTGGAAGATGGCGCCATATAACATCAGTTTGCCAATGCGCACATCCACGGGCAACGCGGCCAAATGATGACCGAGTGGCGTTAGCTGATCATCAATGTCCAAGGCGCCGACATCGCGCAATCGCATTAACGCGCCCAGCACGCTCTCCTCCTTGGGCGCCTCCAATGTTTCGAGCAGAACGGAGAGGGTGTTGCGCGAGGCGAACGTTTGCAGCGTCTTGATACGCAACACAATCTGCTCGAGCGGCACGCGCTGTATCTCGGGCACCGGCTGGCCCAGTATATGATGTTGATAGCGATAACTGGTATACAAATGGATGCAGACACCAGGCATGACACGACCGGCTCGACCTTTGCGCTGCTTGGCATTGGCGCGCGATACCCAGACCAGATCTAACGACTCCATATTGCGATTCGAGTCGAAGCCCTTCTCCTTCATGAGGCCACAGTCGATGACGAAGACACAGTCATCGATGGTAACAGATGTTTCGGCTATATTCGTGCTAAGCACAATTTTTCGTTTCCCCGCCGGTGCACGCTTGAAGACCAGCGCCTGATCTTCGCTGGACAAGGCTGAATGTAATGGAACGAGCACATATTTGCCTGAGCGGGGAGCAAACATTGCACTGTCCAGCAGCGCATTGTGCACCGTTTGTATCTCCTGGAAGCCTGGCAGAAAGATGAGGATGCTGCCCTCATGTGGCCACTCATGCTCGCCCTCTACAATGTACTTAAGCACGGACTCAATTAGATCTGGATTAACCATCATTGGCTCCATGAGGTAGATGCTCTTGCATGTCGTCTTGCTATAGTCTGAAAATGGATTTGAATATTGATGGGGGTTTGACTTAGGATCTGGCGCTTAGCTTACCCGAATAGCGAGCATATATCTCGGCTAGAGTTAGATTCTCGTCCTTGATCTTTTTGCCAGGCGGTTCACCACTGGCCTGGAGATCAGAAAATTCTAACACATGTTCCAGCACCTCCTGTTCCTTCTTTTTGAGCTTTCGACAATATTTCGTATCGCATTCCATAACAAAGTCACTAGCATCCAATATATCCTCAAGGAAGAGCTGTTGCACAGGAAACGTACGTCCCGGTATATCCAGAACAGGTGCGCCGCCAAAGTAATTGGAAAAGAGCGACGCATTCAATGTGGCAGACATGAGTATCACTTTAAGATCCTTGCGTTCATGCAATATATTCTTAAGTATGAGGAGCAGGAAATCCGAATCCTGCGATCGTTCATGCACTTCATCCACAATGACATGACTAACATTGCTGAGCAGCGGATCGGAGGCTAGGCGTCGCAACAGTATGCCAGTGGTGCAGAAGCTCAATCTGGTGCTGGCCGAGATCTTGTTCTCGAGTCGTATCTGATAGCCAACCAGTTGGCCTATGCGATCTAGACGCTCAGCCGCCACACGTTCAGCCACACCGATTGCTGAAAGGCGACGCGGTTGCGTACAGAGTATTTCCACATGTGGCATATCCGTTTTGGGTGGCAATTGGGTGCCTCGGAAGAACCAATTGTCCAATATGAACTGCGGCACTTGTGTGCTCTTGCCACAGCCGGTTTCACCCGAGATGACAACCACCTGATTGTTCTCAATGAGCGCCAATATGTGCTCCATTTCGGCGAAGGCAGGCAGCTTCCGGCGAGCTTCGATCAACTTGTGATAGCGATCGTCGCGTCGTCGTTCGTTGAACAGCTGCAACAGGCGGCGATTCTCACGGGCCAATTCCGTGGCATTTCGTTGATGGGTGCCGCCATCATTACGCGCCGTCTGTCCGCGTTCGTAGTGGCTGGGACGTGGCTTTGCCGCTGCCCCCTCATTGGCATCCAGATCAGCGCCATTTGCCGGCTCATCGTAGAAGAGCGAGTGCTTGGGCGAGGGAAAGCGGGCGGTGTCCAGGCTGCCGGCTAGACCCTCATCCGTCTGCAGCATCTCGCATACACAATAGATGCAAGGAATTCCATCTCGACAAATCTCGCGCGCCTGCCGGTACAAGTGCCGAGCGTATCGCAGGCGCAGCTCATGCGGTATATCGTGGCAGGTGGTCTTGAGGTAGATGTATGGCGCTTCGTACGGATAGCGACTGCCAGGTGGAAAGCGCACCTCCACATGGAACCACAGCTCATTCTCATTCTCATCCAGATTGTCGGCACGCTTGCGCTCTGGTGTGCCCATCCCTTCTGGCTGTGGTGGCACATGCGCAAATCGGCATTTGGGTCCAAATTTACAGGTGCCATCACGATCAAAATTGCGACAACGTTGAGGCGCCTTCTTCTTCTTGTCCAAGGCCGCTTGGCGAACGGCAGCGACTGCCGCCAGTGCCGCTTCACGTGCCTTTCGCACTTCCGATGGGCTGTGCGCCAGCAGATGTTCAATCTTAAACTTTAGATTCCAAACGCTATTATATTCACGCTCCTCATATGCGTTGTCGTAGATTGACTGCAGTGCCTCTTTTTCGTCGGCACGCATGTCCAGCAGAGTTGCCTCATCGGGGGGCTCTAGCTCCAGTGTTGCATCGGAGGGCACTTGCATATAGCGTTCGTAGAGCATCAGCAGCGCAGCTTCCGTGTCGTGTGAGCAGTGCTCATACGCCTCCAGGCAGTGAACAGGATGGAAGCCATAGTTCTCCAGCTTGAGCAATGCATAGCGACGCAAACGATCGGCATCGGCTGTGCTGCTGTTCGCCGCACTGACACCTTGAACACTTTGCACTTGGAGTGTGCCGCGATCCTCCCAGTAGGCATGTTTAATACCTTTCCCGCCACGCCCCCGATCCTTGTATTTGGCAATATCATCGAGCTTAAAGTCCGGGCCGTGTATGGATCGCAATGTGTCCATTGTCAGTTGTTGTGACTCATCACTGAGTCGCAGCACGTGCAACTCCGTTTTGCGGGATTTGTTGTCTGGCACCGATTTTGGTGGCGCCTGTACATTCCTACACGTATAATGTGGGTTATTGGAAATAATCGTGTTGCATTATCCACTTACGTTGTGCGCGCATCGCTTGGCGGTCGTAGATGCCAGTCTTCCATACATTGCCGTGACAATTCGTCCATGTCTACAGAATTTCGGTAACTAGGCTAAACAATTTTACAATTTCACAATTAAAGCTAATAACCCAACTATGGCCAATGGAGCATTATCTACCAAGTCAGTAATGTGCCAGAGCAGAGTATCGATAACATGCAACAGCTGTTTTAGTTTCACTGTTATCGAAGTTGATGTGTTGCCACATCACAAAAATCAAACAAGCAAACAGTAACAGTTGAATATTAAATCATTTTTAAACGTATATTTTTATAATTGTATTTTGTGTTAAGGCATGTATAGATCATTTTGAAATTGTGTGTGTGAAAAAAGTGCAATATAATTAAATTATTCTTATCGTTTCCTATTTCAACGAATTTGGACTTTAGATTCGCTAGAATGGCAGAAAAGTATATTCATTTCTTCTTTCGAATCATTGTCAATTGTAACCGTTAACACCTAACTACATTGCTTCTAGCTCATACTTTTCAAGATTTGCTGTGTCCTTTAATATAGAATTGAATTCCTTTTGATTTTCCATCAGACGCAAATTATATTTAGCCTTCATATCCGCAGATGCAGATTTTAAGGATTCGGTTTGTTTTTTCATTTCAAATATGCGATCCATTAATACGGCATGTGGCTAGCAGATGAACGGTACTTTTGAGATACATTACTTTAGAAATGTGCTTATTACACTTACCATTTCGGTATATTCATCGTATTTCTCTTTGATGCTATTCACTTCAGTGGCCTTGACGGCCTCAGCACAGCACGTGTCATATGCAAGTACACATTCATCCTCGGTTTGGAGCAAACTGTTAAGTTTTTGTAGATGTTGCTTCTGCATGGTGTCTATTTTCATCGCTTTTGAGACATTTATACTAACGGGACAATTAAGCTCACATAACAATTTAAATTTCTCCTCCAATATTTTTGAGGAAATGTTTTGCTCAGAAGTAATTAATTCACTTTCTCTTTTATTGTGAGACTCCTGCAAAATAAGTATTATATTTCCAAGTAGATTCGAATACCACATATTTACCGTATAGTCTAGGCATAGAGTAGCGCATTCCTTGATCAAGTTAGTTACTTCGGTGAGATCATTGCTGGTTTCGGTGGCCTCGGCCTGCTTTTCCTCTAAAGACTGATCAGGGTTAGTTACCGCCATTTCCATATCAAAGTCATTCGCATTATCGTCAGTATACATTTTTTTTATTTTAAGCTAGTTTGTTCACTAGTAAGTTACGCGCACTCGATGCGTTGCGTTTTGATTTGTCACTCAACTGAGTCTATCGCGTAACCTTTAGTGCAGCTGTCAATCGAATAAGTAACTTTAAAACAGGTGGCACCATCGCATTAGGAACATAGTTCGTATTCAAAATTGAGTATATAGTTCATAATTTATATTTATATATACACTTAAATTTATGTTTATCAAAGAGCTCTTGTTCACAAAGATTCGACAAATTTAACGCGATTCTCATCGCTTAATCGAATATATGAATATATTTCATCGCACCATTGAGTAACCCCAAGCAAATAATTTTCAAAGGTGGCAACGTTCTATTGGCAAAATAGTTGATATTCAAAATGAACTATGCATTTTTTCTCATTCGGATGTACACTCACATTCAGCAATCGGAGTTTATTTGTCTGAATGGAAGAATAATTCTTGTAATAAAATTCATAATTCTATTTAAAATTACATTTACATTACAGCAACATGGCAAATCGAAATAAATCGCTGCAGCTGAAAAAGTTTAAGCGTGTTGCCAGCAAAGCGCTACGCATGGAGCGTGAAAGATCTGAGCTGGAAATGAAGCTGTTGAGCACTGCTAACCCAAATAAAGTGATTCGAGATCCACAACCGGAAATCAAAGATCTACACATGCTACCGCCTCTGTCAATAAAGCGGCCGCCGAGTAAATTAATGCCACTGAACATGAGACCCAGTTCACAACCGCCCAGTTCTCGAAGGGTTATGAGCATGCCGTTGTGTGTTAACAACAATGAACTGCCTGGCCCCAAGCCAGAAAACAATAAGCTACATGGCCATATTTCAGATGATATTTATTTACTTGGCCGCCGGTCGCCGGAGGATAATGTATATCTTCAACATCGCCTGCGGCGTACACTGGACGACCAAATGTTTGCACATCATCCAAAAGATAATTATGTGCAACAACACCTCTCCAATGATGAAGATATATTGCATCGTCGCCAGGTGAAGCAATTGCATGATCATGCCCAACAACGCGTTCGAGTTGCCACAGCAGCCGCAGCAGCGGCTGCCTCCACAGTTGTTGCCCAAATACGTAAGGATGCCATCGATGCCGTTGCACACCAGCAGGCTCCCTATATGCGTATGGCTGCCATTGCCAATGCCCGATCGAAATCTAGCAATAAATCTAGAGAAAGCGACCAGCGTCGGGTGATTCGTAATTCGAATTTGCTCAGCTCGGCGCTCAGCATTATTCGCGAAATGGATCCAGCATTTTTGGAGACACTCTGTTATGCTATTCATGATCAAGTTACCAAGGACGATGCACCGGAGTCCGATTAGCTATCTTAATCGTTATAGATTCCGTTCACATATATATATATATCGTTATAGTTTTTGTTAATTTACTTCGCTTTCGCCAATTTGAAAATGGATTTGAAAAATTATATGTTTTAGTTCCACATTGTTGACTACTCCAATGAGGAAACAAACAATTTTTTAAAGTAAATATGGTGCTGGATAAAACTGGAATATGTGTGATTGGTTTTGCATCAGTGTTCCATTATGTTCCCGCAGCTCTTTTTGTCGTTTGAAATAAACACAAATTTTCATGCGACTAATTCTTGGCATATTTTAATTATTTTCTGCATTCTTTTTAATACAGTCCCCATCTCACTTTTTGTAACGATATTTTTTAGTATTGATTTTCGATAGTTTTAAGGTATTTATTGAATACACACATCTCAATTGGAAACATAACGGAAATCACTGAAAATGCACCATTAGATGACACGCTCCTTGAGCTTAAACATGAGTGGATCCTTGGTGCGAAGAATTAATTCAGCAATAAGCACTGGTGGCTCCTCTGCATTGCCAACAAATTCAATTTCATAATGTCGCAAAACATTCGCCGCAATCGCTTTGATCTCGAGTATGGCAAACTTCTGGCCAATGCAGTTGCGCGGTCCAGCCGAGAAAGGAATGTAGGCATAAGGATTGAGCTTCTCAGCGCTCGTAACCACATCGAAACGTTCTGGCTTAAACGTATTTGGTTCACTGAACAGATCCTCTCGTCGGCCTAAAAACAATGGAGAAATGCCTATGTTTGTGCCGGCGGGAATGATCTTGCCATCTGGTTTATAATTAAATGGTTAAATTAATTGTTTATATATATTTCAAGTGCATATTACTTATTTCGCATTCCTGGAGCACCTTGCGGCCTAGCAGTGGAACCGATGGGTACATACGCAACGTCTCCTTGATGCACAGGTCCACATAATGGAGTTTGTTGAGCAGATCGTAGGTAACAGGCGTCTCTCTGTCGTTGCCCAACACCGATACAATCTCCTCGATGCATTTGCGTTGGCATTCCGGATACAACGCAATGTTATAGAAGAAGAACGTAATGGCAGAGGATGTGGTGTCATGGCCCTCAAACATAAAGGTATCCACCTCCTCACGTATGTCCATGTTGGTCAAAGGCTTGTCGTCGATGTTCGACTGCAGCAATATGTCCAGAAAGGCCATTTTACGCTTGGCGCCCACTTCTGCTCCGTCCGTAGTCTGTTGGACTCCTCCACGTAGCAGCTCCTCGCGACGCTGCACGATGATCTTTTCCGTAAAGTTGTGCAGCACATTCAAAGCTTGACGCTCGGCCCTAGCCAGAGGAGTTAACATGTAGGTCAGATCGAAGCGATAGAAGATGTTGAACATGCGCTTGTGCAGCACCATCGAAATGGTCTTCACTGCACGGACATAATCTGAGTCAACGTTCGTCTGAGCATTGATTGAGACACCCATAGCGGTTTCTACATAGAAAAGGAAAAGAGCGGAGATTGCAGGTTATTTTCAGTCAAATTTAAAGTACTTATGATTAGATTATGTTTATTTAAATATCGCTTCGGTGCAAGGCGAAGCTGAATAACCTTCGGACTTGTCCACCTACCACAAATAGTGTCCATAGTGCAGAGATTAATCCAATCGTATAGATTGAAACCAGTTTGGCCCTGCTGTCGGCGTTCCCTCTCCAAATTCTGGAGCAGCGTACGCGACTCACGCTCAAAAACATTGACGAACTGATAAAGAATTTTAAAATGGAAGGCGGGCGTAATGATCTTGCGGCGTTTATGCCACTTGCGCCCACGGCTAATGAGCAAACCCTCCTTGAGCCAAGGCTCGAGGGCCTTGTACTCGCCGGCCTTGTCATTAAAACGAAGTGTGCCAAGGACCACTTCCACATCTTTGGGATTGCCCATGAGTAGGTTGAGCTCTGGTCCCAGCCAAACTTTGAGCGTCTGATCCTTGGAATAGATGTCCATGAAGCTTCTAAGCATAAGGACTAGCTCATGAGGTGCCTTACCAACAAAATGGTAACCATGACCTACTACTGGCAAAGTCGGTGGGCTACCCAAATCTCGAGTCACGTCTATAAGGTGCTTGAATTTCAACTGATAGATGAGCAGACCCACAAATAGGGCGCTAGCCAGAATAAGACCCAGCACTAGAAACATTTTGAGAGCAGCAATGCACAAAATCAACTGAAACTTCAACTTTTCATAAGCTATATTTTTGGCCCCAAATCTTATCGTGGCTTATCCGAACAGTTGTAAAGTTGGCTAATGTCCATATTTCTTCTATCTAATCGCAGACAGTTGGTTGCTATTGGCATTTAATCTGACCATTATTCTTAACTTCCTCTCGGTCTGCGATCATTTACTTTAGTTCAAATAATATTATGGAAATTCTAAATTGAATATCGTAAAGCTAAAAAGTTTCAAATCCAATTACATTAGTATCGTTGCGATTCCTTTTGCTTCTTCGATATTTAAGTGAACGATAGTTAATAGATATTGAATTATCGATAGTCTTAATGTATTTATTGAATGCACACATCTCAATTGGCAACCTTATAACGGAATTTACAATATTCACAATTAAAGGACACGCTCCTTGAGCTCAAACATGAGTGGATCCTTGGTGCGAAGGATTAATTCAGCAATAAGCACTGGCGGCTCCTGTACATTGCCAACATATTCAATTTCATAATGTCGCAAAACATTCGCCGCAATCGCTTTGATCTCGAGTATGGCAAACTTCTGGCCAATGCAGTTGCGCGGTGCTGACGAGAATTAAATGTAGGCATAGGGAGTGAAATTTTTGGCTCTCTCGTTGAACCAAAAACAAGTTAGCTACATGTCAAGCAGATTGATACGATAGAAGAGTCCGGCGCCGTCGAAATGGTCTTCTCAGCACGCACATAATCCGAGTCAAGCGTCTGAGCATTGATTGAGACACCAATAGCGGATTCTATGAAAAAATGGTGAGGAACAGTGCGCTGGGGAGAAATTATGTTAAATTAGACAAATTCCAAGTGCTGATTAGAACATTATTAAAACACAACAAACGGCTTAGAAGCAAATGCCAAACGCTGCTTCCCATTGACTGCTAATCAGAAAATGAAAACAAATCAATTCTATATTTAAAATTGTGTTATCTGAACGTTAACGAAAGTACTTATAACATTCAACTGATGGATGAGTAGACACAAACAAGGCGTTAGTTAAAACAAGCCCCGGCACCAGAGACATATTTAACGCAGCAACATGAAATGCTTTACTGAAAGACCAAATATTGACTGTGGCCTAAACTGGAATGACTGATACATAGTATATACAGATTTGTCACAAATCGAGACATTGGCAACGCAATTAATATTCACAAGTCCGGTTATATATAAGCGCAACTATATAACCGAGTAAAGTCAATGGACAGCACGGGAACCACAATCTCAATAGCTTCATGGAAATCATCAATCGAGCTCATTAAAAATTTAACAAACATTGCTTCTATCCACGATACTGATTGACGGTTAAATGTAGTCAAAAATCAATATTACAATTTATCAACATCATAATTTATAGATCTATTCAATCCTATGGACGATGTGATGTTGTTAAATGATCTTTTTTGGGCAAATTCAAAAAGGGAGCTACTGCAACGTAAGTTATATATTATATCTTAGTATGGTGTCTAGAATCCTATGGAATCGTCTCTGACTCACCGCAAATGACATCCAAGGTGAATAGATGCACAGCATGTCCCAGATCGAAGGAATGGCCAAGGGTCTGCTGCCATTTATGAATCAGCAGTCGAGTCTGCCTATCAAAGATCTCCACATAAGGATCGAGGATTCGAAAGTGGAAGGAGGGCGTGATGATTTTGCGACGGCGATGCCATTTGTGACCGCTACTCAGGAGCAGGCCATCGTTAAGCCAGCCGCGTAGGAAACTGTACTCGATGGCCTTGTCCAGCAGCTGGCTGCTGCCTAGAACAACTTCAATGTCGCGTGGCTGGAACATCATCAGACTAAAGTTGCTACCCATTTTGAGCTTGAAGGTGCCATCATATTGCTCTCCCAGCTGGCCAATTAGCTGCGGCACCTGCCAAGGCTCCAAGCCGAAAAACATATGAAAATGTCCAAGCAACGGCAGATTGCGTGGTCCGGGCAGCCGGGCAGCTAGTTCATGGGTTCGGCGGCGCTTGCGCAGCCACAGACTCAATGGCAGCCAACTAATCCCGGTCAACGCTACGACGATGCACACGGCAGCAATGAGCAACGGCAGCGAAAGAGACATTTCTCTGCTGTGGACAATCGACAATTAACATTTGAATGAACTTTCCCAACTTTTTTATGATTCGCAATCAGCTGCAGTCTAGTCAGAAGGTTATCTGTTAATTTCTAGATTAATGTCTATTCTATTGGTAATTATTGCATACTTTGCACAAATTGGGTACATTGGTTTGCAGCCACAGTCTGTACGTTCATGTAATAGCTGCATTTCCAATGGTAACAACCATTGCAAATTAAACGTTTTTTAAAGCAAAGCATTCTCCATTTTAAGCCATTGTAAGTCGTAACTATCGATTGGTATTCCAAACATCGATTGATGATCCGCTCGAATCTCTTTTTTCGAAGATCATTCATATATGATATATAACGGAAACTTGCGAAAATGCGTTAGTTTAATGCGTGACATCTGCTAGTCGTGTGGCCCCTGCACCCATATTTGTTTTATTTTGTTATTATTATTTACTTTACTCATCCGCCACATGGCGCTGCCAAAATTAGATTTTTTTGTACTAAAAATAGAGCAAGTGGCAAACTATGACGCCACGTCCGGGCCAGCAATGTTGATCGAATGGGCGTGTGTGGGTGTTTAGGTGTGTTTACATTTGATCATGTATTGCTATGGAGCTGTGACGTCACTAGTATTCAAGTTCAGAGGCATTTCTGTCTAGATGGCAACGCCATTCAAGGAATGTGTGTGAAAGAAAGATGAACAATTTGCATTAGCAAATTCTGAATGCAAATTGCATTCGACTTCGCAGATGGATTCAAGCGCCAGCTGATTCATTTCGAAATTCCAATAAAAAATGAGAATGCGAATGCCCACTTGAATTTTCATCGTTACGTTACGTTCACAAAAACAAGAGCAAGCAGCCAAATGAGAAAGGAGACGAAAGGGCGGAACAACAACAAAGGATTGCTTAACTTTAGCATGCCGAACTAAGCTATACCCTGGAAACGGTTACAAGCTAAAAAGCATTGACCACTGTTACGTGCGAATAACGTAACAAACAGGAATATATACATATATAGATTTATATATATATATACATATATATATTTATATATATATATATACATATACATATTTATATATATATATACATATATATAAGAGCTAAGCAAATTAATCGGTCTCCTTCCATTCATACCCTATTCGCTGTTTCTTGTGTGTACAGGGCATGATGGAGTAGGCGTCCTTCAAGCATGCCAAATTCCAAAATTCTTGCGTCGGTCGTCGACGTCGACGTCATTTTGGCCCATGATTCGCACTGCGGGCCACATTTGAAATGTAAATATTTACACATGTTTTACAAGAGTTTCTTGAACGATTCCTCACTGTCGGATATAGCATATATATGAATAAATGGGATATATACACATTGCTTATAGATCGCCGAGATGTGTGCGCGTTGGAATTTCATTGGCATTTCCAATTTTGTACATTTTGTGAATTTTGCTCGCTTTTGCATTTCTGTTTTGATTTTCTTCATATATGTATGAAGAGTTCAGCATCTTGAACTCGATTGATTGTATTTTGCCATAGATCAGGGAGAGACTGCGAGAAAGAGAGAGAGAGTGAGAGAGAGCCGTTGGGGCCAACGAGGCCAGAACGTGCCACATGGAGCGTTTGATGAAACTATACGAGGTCTGTTCAATAAGTATATCTGTTTGGCACCTTCTTATTATGGACTCGTGTCAATGCTTTTTCCAGTCCTGTTCAGCTGCTTCTTTATCGATGACTTTCTTATCATCTCAATCGTAGCTTAGTGTCGTCCTTCAAAATAAATCAAAAATGGATGAGCGATAAACGATAATCGATAATCGATAGTCGATAGCCGATAGTCATACATACGCGATACTTTTTGAGCACACCTCGAATGAATACATCAAAAACAGTGCAAAAACAAGAGACAAAACAAAAATAAATAAAAGTATAAAAATTATTTTAATAATAATAACAAAAATTTCGCTTTGGCTCAACACATTTTGCGTCATTTGGCGCTGAAGTGCTGAAGGCAACATTTTGCCGAAACAAACGATATGCTGGCATAGAAATATATATATGTTTATATATGTATATGTATGTATATTACTGTATACAACATGAAAAAATCAACGATTTTAATAATAAACCTAGGCGCAATAGCTTTATGTTTCAGCTTACGCTGCGAATGCGCAATCTTTAACGCATTGCGCATACGACACGTGTGCCACAAGCCCCCGCAGGCAGTAAAATGGAAATTGTTACTGGTTATTAGACGTACATGTGTATTATTAAATATATATTCCTTGATTTATATGTAAATATTTAATAAAGGTAGCCTTCAAATTTTTAAGTTGGGTTTGGAAATATTGCGTATACGCCGCGTGTTACGCCTCAAAATTGCGATTTGTTATCAATTTAATGCTGGCTTTAAGTTTATTATGTACATATTTAAATGAGATTTCTAAATCTCTAACATAAGCATTCAGTTGGTGGACCCAGCACTTACAGTAGCAAAACTTACGTGCGCCACTATCTGAATGACTCATTTTGTCAGCCACGCCCTCTTGCCATTGTGCCCCTTTCTGCCTAATTTCTGTCCATTTGACGTTTCAGTTGCTATTTTGAAACAATTGTGTCGGCATGTGTCATACTCGTTATTCTCAACGTTTTTGCCAAATTCTATATTATTATTTGTGTACTCAGGAAGACCTGCTTTTACTCGATATATATATATATATATATATATATATATATATATATATATATATATATATATATATATATTTATATAAATATATATATAGAAGATAAATTCATATACAGTTAAATAAAATAGTTGCATGTCTGTGTGTCTGCTCGTCACTGTTGAAGCTAAAGAGTTAAAATTTAGAATATATAAATAGTATATCCTAAGTTTTTCTGAGTGCTCACAATTCTTTTATACGCGCATTCCTGATGAGTGGGATGTTTAAGACGTAATATTTCGTTTCTTAACTGCCCCATTAGGGGCTTGGCCGTAGAGCTGAAGTTTAACAGTTGGAATCAACTAATTATGTTGTCATGCTCATATATACGAGCGAGAGAAGATGAGAGAGAAGTGGAAAAGTATGTGAAGGAGATGACAGAGGAAGGAAAAAAAATGAGAACATAGAGAAGTGGAAGAGAAAAGGCAGACATAATAGCGAGAGAGAGAGAGAGAGAAAGAGAGCAGCTGTTCAGCGAATTCGATACACGACATCAAAATAACTTGTTTTATTTTTCTACTTCAATTTAATTTATAATTATTTTTATTATGCATAATTTGCATTTATGTCTCTTTCTTGCTCTCACGTTCTACCTAAGAATCATAGAGATTCCTCGCTTGTTCGATATTTAAGTAAACGATAGGTAATTATCGATAGTTTTAAGGTATTTATTGAATACACACATCTCAATTGGACACAACGGAATTTACAAAATGCACCATTAGATGACACGTTCCTTGAGCTTAAACATGAGTGGATCCTTGGTGCGAAGAATTAATTCAGCAATAAGCACTGGTGGCTCCTCTGCATTGCCAACATATTCAATTTCATAATGTCGCAAAACATTCGCCGCAATCGCTTTGATCTCGAGTATGGCAAACTTCTGGCCAATGCAGTTGCGCGGTCCAGCCGAGAAAGGAATGTAGGCATAGGGATTGAGCTTCTCAGCGCTCGTAACCACATCGAAACGTTCTGGCTTAAACGTATTTGGTTCACTAAACAGATCCTCGCGTCGGCCTAAAAACAATGGGCAAATGCCTATGTTTGTGCCGGCGGGAATGATCTTGCCATCTGGTTTATAATTAAATGGTTAAATTAATTGTTTATACATATTTCAAGTGCATATTACTTATTTCGCATTCCTGGAGCACCTTGCGGCCTAGCAGTGGAACCGATGGGTACATACGCAACGTCTCCTTGATGCACAGGTCCACATAATGGAGTTTGTTGAGCAGATCATAGGTAACAGGCGTCTCTCTGTCGTTGCCCAACACCGATACAATCTCCTCGACGCATTTGCGTTGGCATTCCGGATACAACGCAATGTTATAGAAGAAGAACGTAATGGCGGATGCTAAGGTATCGTGGCCCTCATACATAAAGGTATCCACCTCCTCGCGTATGTCCATGTTGGTCAAAGGCTTGTCGTCGATTTTCGACTGCAGTAATATGTCGAGAAAAGCCATTTTTCGCTTGGCACCCACATCAGTATCATCCGTACTCTGTGTCACTACTTCTGCAGTTGAGCTGTTTGCACACAGAAGCTCCTCGCGACGCTGCACGATGATCTTTTCCGTAAAGTTGTGCAGCACTTTCAAAGCTTGACGCTCTGCTCTAGCCAGAGGAGTCAGCATGTAGACCAGATCGAAGCGATAGAAGATGTTGAACATGCGCTTGTGCAGCACCATCGAAATGGTCTTCACTGCACACACATAATCCGAGTCAACGTTCGTCTGGGCATTGATTGAGACACCCATAGCAGTTTCTATGGCAAATGGTGGAGAGAAATTATGTTAAATTGGACAAATTCCAAGTGCTAAATCGATTCTCTATTTAAAATTATGTTAATCGGCTAATATCGGCTTATAATTGGAATATCCAATATATTTAAAATTGATATAACACCGGGAAATCTCGCTTACCTACCACAAATGATGTCCATAGTTAAGAGACTGATCCAATCGGATAGATCGAAACCAGCTTGAGCCTGCTGCTGGCATTCCCTATCCAAATTCTGGAGCAGCTTACGCGATTCACGCTCAAATATATCGACGAACTGTTCGAGAATCTTGAAGTGGAAGGTGGGCGTAATGATCTTGCGACGATTCTGCCACTTGCGTCCACGGCTTATAAGTAAACCCTGCTTGAGCCAGGGCTCGAGCACCTTGTACTCACTGGCCTTGTCAATGAAACGATGTGTGCCAAGAACCGCTTCCACATCTTTGGGATTGCTCATAACTATGTTGAGCTCTGGGCCCAGCCAAACTTTGACCGTCTGTTTTTTGGCATAGGTGTCTACAAAATGACGTAGCTTAAGAAGCATCTCATGCGGCGGTCTGCCAATGAAATGAAAAGCATGCCCAGCCACTGGCCACGTCGGTGCACTACCCAAATCTCGAGTCACTTCCATAACGTGCTTGAACTTTAACTGATAGATGAGCAGACCCACAAATAGGACGCTAGCCAGAATAAGACCCAGCACCAGAAACATCCTAAGCACAGTAAGACGAAATGCCTCCCTGAAAGACCAAATTACGACTGTGGCCTAAACTTTAATTGCCGTCACTGGCAACAAGTTCGCAGTATTGTTAGGCTTATCCCAATTCGAGAAATTATCAAGGTTAAATTGCACAAGTCCGGTTATATACTTTTATATGAGCAGCAAAGTCGTTGGACAGCACTGGCTTAAGGCAACTACTTAAATTTCAATAGCTTTTTGGAAATCAATCGAGCTCATTAAAAATAAGCAAGCATTCCTGCTGTCCATAATACTGGTTTACAGTTAATTGTATTCAAAAATCAATATTATAATTTAACAATATTGTAATTTATTGGCTTATGCTATACTATGGACGAGATGATGCTTCTACGCTCGGTGCGGAGACTTTAGCTGCTGCCCATTTTGAGTTTGAAGGTGCCGTCATATTGCTCTGCCAGCTGGACAATTAGCTGCGTGTAGCCCCTGCACTGCTATTTGTTTTATTTTGTTATTATTATTTACTTTACTCATCCGCCACATGACGCCGCCAAAATTAGATTTTTTTGTACTAAAAATAGAGCAAGTGGCAAACTATGACGCCACGTCCGGGCCAGCAATGTTGATCGAATGGGCGTGTGTGGGTGTTTAGGTGTGTTTACATTTGATCATGTATTGCTATGGAGCTGTGACGTCACGAGTATTCAAGTTCAGAGGCATTTCTGCCTAGATGGCAACGCCATTCAAGGAATGTGTGTGAAAGAAAGATAAACAATGTGCATTGAATTGCATTGCTTCGGCAATAAATTGCGAAAAAAGTATTTTATTTGAATAAACGACTATAAAATTGATGCAACTCAAGAGTATCAACATAATTAACAACAAATTCAATTTAGCTGCCGTTGCTGAAAGCCTGTGCAGGGCTATTTACTTGGCTAGTTTACTCAAGTGGAACCAAGCAAATTCTGAATGCAAATTGCATTCGCCTTCGCAGATGGATTCGGGCGCCAGCTGATTCATCTTGAAATTCCAATAAAAAATGCGAATGCGAATGCAAATGCGAATGCCCACTTGAATTTTCACCGTTACGTTACGTTCACAATAACAAGAAGACCGAGCAGTCAAATGAGAAAGGAAACGAAAGGGGCGGAACAACAACAAAGGATTGCTTAACTTTAGCATGCCGAACTAAGCTATACCCTGGAAACGATTACAAGCTAAAACAGCATTGACCACTGTTACGTGCGAATAAGGTAGATGAACAAGAATATATATATATATGTATATATATATATATATATATATATATATAAGAGCTAAGCAAATTAATCGGTCCCCTTCCATTCATACCCTATTCGCTGTTCCTTGTGTGTACAGGGTATGATGGAGTAGGCGTCCTTCAAGCATGCCAAATTCCAAAATTCTTGCGTCGGTCGTCGACGTCGACGTCATTTTGGCCCATGATTCGCACTGCGATCCACATTTGAAATGTAAATATTTACACATGTCTTACAAGAGTTTCTTGAACGATTCCTCACTGTCGGATATAGCATATATATGAATAAATGGGATATATACACATTGCTTATAGATCGCCGAGATGTGTGCGCGTTGGAATTTCATTGGCATTTCCAATTTTGTACATTTTGTGAATTTTGCTCGCTTTTGCATTTCTGTTTTGATTTTCTTCATATATGTATGAAGAGTTCAGCATCTTGAACTCGATTGATTGTATTTTGCCATAGATCAGGGAGAGACTGCGAGAAAGAGAGAGAGTGAGAGAGAGCCGTTGGGGCCAACGAGGCCAGAACGTGCCACATGGAGCGTTTGATGAAACTGCAAAACAACAGCAGGCTATACGAGGTCTGTTCAATAAGTATATCTGTTTGGCACCTTCTTATTATGGACTCGTGTCAATGCTTTTTCCAGTCCTGTTCAGCTGCTTCTTTATCGATGACTTTCTTATCATCTCAATCGTAGCTTAGTGTCGTCCTTCAAAATAAATCAAAAATGGATGAGCGATAATCGATAATCGATAATCGATAATCGATAGCCGATAGTCATACATACGCGATACTTTTTGAGCACACCTCGAATGAATACATCAAAAACAGTGCAAAAACAAGAGACAAAACAAAAATAAATAAAAGTATAAAAATTATTTTAATAATAATAACAAAAATTTCGCTTTGGCTCAACACATTTTGCGTCATTTGGCGCTGAAGTGCTGAAGGCAACATTTTGCCGAAACAAACGATATGCTGGCATAGAAATATATATATGTTTATATATGTATATGTATGTATATTGCTGTATACAACATGAAAAAATCAACGATTTTAATAATAAACCTAGGCGCAATAGCTTTATGTTTCAGCTTACGCTACGTATGCGCAATCTTTAACGCATTGCGCATACGACACGTGTGCCACAAGCCCCCGCAGGCAGTAAAATTAAAATTGTTACTGGTTATTAGACGTACATGTGTATTATTAAATATATATTCCTTGATATATATGTAAATATTTAATAAAGGTAGCCTTCAAATTTTTAAGTTGGGTTTGGAAATATTGCGTATACGCCGCGTGTTACGCCTCAAAATTGCGATTTGTTATCAATTTAATGCTGGCTTTAAGTTTATTATGTACATATTTAAATAAGATTTCTAAATCTCTAACATAAGCATTCAGTTGGTGGACCCAGCACTTACAGTAGCAAAACTTACGTGCGCCACTATCTGAATGACTCATTTTGTCAGCCACGCCCTCTTGCCATTGTGCCCCTTTCTGCCTAATTTCTGTCCATTTGACGTTTCAGTTGCTATTTTGAAACAATTGTGTCGGCATGTGTCATACTCGTTATTCTCAACGTTTTTGCCAAATTCTATATTATTATTTGTGTACTCAGGAAGACCTGCTTTTACTCGATATATATATATATATATATATATATATATATATATATATATATATATTTATATAAATATATATATAGAAGATAAATTCATATACAGTTAAATAAAATAGTTGCATGTCTGTGTGTCTGCTCGTCACTGTTGAAGCTAAATAGTTAAAATTTAGAATATATAAATAGTATACCCTAAGTTTTTCTGAGTGCTCACAATTCTTTTATACGCGCATTCCTGATGAGTGGGATGTTTAAGACGTAATATTTCGTTTCTTAACTGCCCCATTAGGGGCTTGGCCGTAGAGCTGAAGTTTAACAGTTGGAATCAACTAATTATGTTGTCATGCTCATATATACGAGCGAGAGAAGTGGAAAAGTATGTGAAGGAGATGACAGAGGAAGGAAAAAAATGAGAACAGAGAGAGAAGTGGAAGAGAAAAGGCAGACATAATAGCGAGAGAGAGAGAGAGAGAAAGAGAGCAGCTGTTCAGCGAATTCGATACACGACATCAAAATAACTTGTCTTATTTTTCTACTTCAATTTAATTTATAATTATTTTTATTATGCATAATTTGCATTTGTGTCTCTTTCTTGCTCTCTCGTTCTACCTAAGAATCATAGAGATTCCTCGCTTGTTCGATATTTAAGTAAACGATAGGTAATTATCGATAGTTTTAAGGTATTTATTGAATACACACATCTCAATTGGACACTTAACGGAATTTACAAAATGCATCATTAAATGACACGTTCCTTGAGCTTAAACATGAGTGGATCCTTGGTGCGAAGAATTAATTCAGCAATAAGCACTGGTGGCTCCTCTGCATTGCCAACAAATTCAATTTCATAATGTCGCAAAACATTCGCCGCAATCGCTTTGATCTCGAGTATGGCAAACTTCTGGCCAATGCAGTTGCGCGGTCCAGCCGAGAAAGGAATGTAGGCATAGGGATTGAGCTTCTCAGCGCTCGTAACCACATCGAAACGTTCTGGCTTAAACGTATTTGGTTCACTAAACAGATCCTCGCGTCGGCCTAAAAACAATGGGCAAATGCCTATGTTTGTGCCGGCGGGAATGATCTTGCCATCTGGTTTATAATTAAATGGTTAAATTAATTGTTTATACATATTTCAAGTGCATATTACTTATTTCGCATTCCTGGAGCACCTTGCGGCCTAGCAGTGGAACCGATGGGTACATACGCAACGTCTCCTTGATGCACAGGTCCACATAATGGAGTTTGTTGAGCAGATCATAGGTAACAGGCGTCTCTCTGTCGTTGCCCAACACCGATACAATCTCCTCGACGCATTTGCGTTGGCATTCCGGATACAACGCAATGTTATAGAAGAAGAACGTAATGGCGGATGCTAAGGTATCGTGGCCCTCATACATAAAGGTATCCACCTCCTCGCGTATGTCCATGTTGGTCAAAGGCTTGTCGTCGATTTTCGACTGCAGTAATATGTCGAGAAAAGCCATTTTTCGCTTGGCACCCACATCAGTATCATCCGTACTCTGTGTCACTACTTCTGCAGTTGAGCTGTTTGCACACAGAAGCTCCTCGCGACGCTGCACGATGATCTTTTCCGTAAAGTTGTGCAGCACTTTCAAAGCTTGACGCTCTGCTCTAGCCAGAGGAGTCAGCATGTAGACCAGATCGAAGCGATAGAAGATGTTGAACATGCGCTTGTGCAGCACCATCGAAATGGTCTTCACTGCACACACATAATCCGAGTCAACGTTCGTCTGGGCATTGATTGAGACACCCATAGCAGTTTCTATGGCAAATGGTGGAGAGAAATTATGTTAAATTGGACAAATTCCAAGTGCTAAATCGATTCTCTATTTAAAATTATGTTAATCGGCTAATATCGGCTTATAATTGGAATATCCAATATATTTAAAATTGATATAACACCGGGAAATCTCGCTTACCTACCACAAATGATGTCCATAGTTAAGAGACTGATCCAATCGGATAGATCGAAACCAGCTTGAGCCTGCTGCTGGCATTCCCTATCCAAATTCTGGAGCAGCTTACGCGATTCACGCTCAAATATATCGACGAACTGTTCGAGAATCTTGAAGTGGAAGGTGGGCGTA